TTTTCTTGGAACTGGGGATCGAACTTGGAACTTTGTGCTTGCAAGGCAGGCAGTGGAACCACTGAGCCAAATCCCCAGCCCACGAAAAATAAAATCTACTATTAACATTAATTTCATCTTTTCTTTTCACTGCTTAGTATGACCACTAGAAATGTTAGAATTGCATCCTGTGGCTTGTGTGGATTCTCTGGGACAGCGCTGCCCCAGTCAGTAGGGACCCAGGCTTAGGGTCCTAGAGAGCTGCGAATAACCTTTGCTAAGCACGAAGTTGGGCTGGTGGACAGTGGGTGACCACTGAATCTTTTCAATGAAATTTACTGCAGAGCCCTTCAGTTGTCCCCTGTCTTCTGCTCAGCAGTTTCCCCTCCAGCCACCCTTCCCAAGGAATGGAGGCCTGAAGAGAGAGGAAGCTGCCATCCCGGCTCTGTGAGCCAGTGCCAAAGGCCGCCCCAATATGGCGGAGACACCAAGAGAATGTGGCCCTTCTTGGGTCCTGTCTTTCAGGCCGCACTGCAGGTGTCTCTCCTGGTGGCAGGAAGCCCAGTAGGGGGTAAAGGTGGTGGGTGGGGGACCTTCTATCCTCAGCTATTTCTGGGGCAACCAACTTTCCAAGCCTCATCACTGAAATCTTGAATCACAGGAGACCCAGAGTCCTGGACAAACCAGGACAGTTGGCCCCCTTGACTTTTCCATCTGCGTGAACTCCAAAACTCCAGATGACTCTGTCACTTCAATCTTAGGCGGTGGACCAGAGGGCTGTCCCTGCAAAACACTCTTGCTGATGGGTCAGGGTGACCTTGTCCTAAATCCCCCTGTTCCCTCCCTCATTTGTGCACACAGCACATTGGTGGGGCACCTAACACTGGTTCTGCACCCTAGTTCTGGACCAGTACCAAATCTGCCCTTTCCTAGGTAGGAGCACACGGACTGTGCATACACTGGCATCCCGATAACTTGCTAATATTAACACAGTGCTGTTGTGGGCACTGGAGTTTACCTGTGGAGAGCCCTGGAGACAGCAAGCCTTTGGTGAGCACCATTGTTAATACAGCATTCCAGGACCCCTGTAGATGCCTGAAACTGTGGATTGTACCTCACCGTATATGTACTGGTTTTTCCCCACATGCCCAGCAGCATGGCACCCATTGCGAGATTTCACCTATCTTTCCACTTTGTAGGCCCCATCCCTCGTTGACGTCATTTCTCTTGACCTGTGGGGGCCATTATTAAGCAAATTAAGGTTTACTTGAACACTGATTCTGTGACAGTTGATCAGCTAATGAGTGACTGATGGGAAAATAGCATACAGAGAGTGGATTACGGGGCCTGGGGATGATTGGTGCTCACATAGGCAGGAGTGGTGCCCAGTGCCCACGAGTCCTCCTGATGGTAGGAAATGCTGCAGCTGGGGATCAAGAAAGGGTTCCCAAGGAAACAAGACTCTAGGAGAGCGATGAAACATAAGTGACATTCACTAGTGCAGACAGCTGAGGACACCATTCCAGGGGGAGGGGCTGTGCATGCCACGGGGGCTAAAGGGGCCACCCCAGGGAAGGCAGCTCAGGCCGGACCTGGGTCTGACAGTGAGCAGTCAGGGAGGAGTGGCTCCGCTTGAGACTTGGGATGCGTTTGCCCCCTTGGGGAAAGGACAGACATAACCAAGAAGGGATGGCGCCTCCTTTCCCTTTGGAAGAGTTTGGTTTTATGAGCTTGTCTTACTGCCCATAAGAAACAGATAAGCAGCCCGATCCAGGGAAGAGTAAAGTCAGGAACTGCCTGTGACCCCACTGTTCTGGGCTGCAGCCAGCCCAGAGCCCAGGGCCCTTTCCTCCCGTGCCTCAGGAGACACAGGGGTCTGGGCAGCCATTGAGCATTTGAGGTCCTGCCTTTCCCAGCACCACTTCTGTTCACTGGGGGATCTGGGTCCCCAACAATTTTGACAACTGCAGGAAATCACTGGCTCTAAATTACATGAAAACTACAGAATCAAAATGAGTGAACAGGGCCAGGGATTTAGCTCAGTGGTTCCACCGCCTCCCTCGCAAGTGCGAGGTCCCGAGTTTGATCCCTGGTACCAAAAACAACAACAACAAAATGAGTAAATAGCCACAGACGTGACAGCACAGACTTCAATCATTATTAAAAACTCATTACTGTTGCATCATATTTGACAATAATCCCTTCCGTTTCTCACCTCACAACAAGAGTGTGCAACAGATGCCCAGAAATCATAGTAGGAAATGTTAAATGTACTATTCAGAGCCAAATAACCTCAAAAAGAAGACTTTTGGAAATCCTTTTCAAAATGTCTACACCAAAAAAACTGTATTCTCTGATGTCAGTGAATTGGGAAACATTTGATGCCTCATATATACAGTGCAGTTTCCAAACCCAGCAATGCCAGAGTCCCTGGACATCTCCTAGCCAGCCCTTGTGATACTGTGGGAAATAAGAATGTGGCAGAGCTAGAAACATGCAACTTGGTCAAGTACACAAGCAAGGTGGCAAAGGAACTTCCTAACTGTAAGTCCATTTATGTTTTTGAAAGGTGTAGTTACAATTAAAAGAGCTAACACTGGGCAGGGAATTTAGCTCAGTGGTTCCACCGCCTGCCTGGCAAGTGCAAGGTCCTGAGTTCGATCCCCGGTTCCAAAAAAAAAAGGAGCTAACATTGAGTGCTAAATGCTCTTCTCATCTCTCCTCTCACACTATTTCCAGTCAGCAAAAGGTGTAGGGTTGTGCCCCCTGCCCCCATGTAGTGGTCAACTTCCCATCACTGTGACAAAATGCTTGAAATAAAACATCCTCAAAAGGAGGAAAGGTTTGTTTGGTTCATGGCTTCAGCGGTTTCAGTCCATGGTCAGCTGGCTCAGTGGCCTTTGAGTCTGGGTTCTTATGTCATGGTGGACGTGTGGAGAGAGCAAAGGTGGTCATCTTGTGGAGTCTGGGACAGAGAGAGAGAGGCAGACAGACCGACAGAGCGCTATGGTCCCAGTGTCCCCTTTAAGGGAACATCCCTGATAACCTAACTTCCTCTACCTGGCCCCACCTCCTGTGTCCAGCATCTCCCCCTAGCACCATAGGCAGGGGCCCAAGTCTTTAACACCGGCCTTGAGGACATCAAGACCCTAGCACCTACTGAGTAATTCTCCAACACCAGCTAGCATCCTATAACTCAATTCCGGGCTGGCACTGTCCCCCTAGAGCTAGTGTCAAACCCTACAAGTTCGGGGCTTGGTCCTGTGAGACCTCCCCCCAGATGCCTGTTGCAAGTCTGGGCCTCTGCTACCAACTGGCTGTGACTCGGGGTTCCCATAATAGACCCTTCTCAGATCTGAGTAGTTGCTGGAGTGGCCCACAGAGCTCAGGAGAACACTTTGCTTACTTTATTGCAAAGAATATTTTTAAGGATACAACAGCCAGGGGTTGGGATGTGGCTCAGTGGTGCAGCACTTGCCTAGTATGTATAAGGCCCTGGGTTCTGCCCCACCACCATGAAAACAAACAAAAACAACAAACCCAAATGATAAACCAGATGAAGCAGTCTGTGGACGCAGTATGTGAGGGGCACAGAATTCCCATGTCCTTTCCGGGTTCCTTGAACTCCAGGTACCTCCATGTTTGAGCAGCCCGGAGCTCCCCAAGCCAAGGCCTTCAGGGATTTATGGAGGCTTTGGTACAGGTGTGTACTTGGTCAGCCCTCAACCTGCAGCCCTTCTCCATCCCCTGGCACCAGGGACCACAGCCATCTCCAATGTCATTCGCAGGCAAAAGGATGCTTACTACTTCAGAGAGTCCTAGAGGTTTAGGAACTAGGTGCCAGAGAACAGATGAAAACCAGACACACACACACACACACACACACACCCCACAATGTCACAGAATCAGATAGTAAGTAATTTAGGGTTTTTGGATCTTACAGTCTGTTATGATTATTCAGTTCTGCCCTTGTATCACAAAAAGCAGCCATAGATAATGCTTAAGTGAATCTCTGTGTCCTAATAAAGCTCTATTCTTAAAAGCAAACACTGCACCAGAGTTAGCCTGAGTACTATAATGTACTGACCCCTGTTCTACATCATATTTCAGTTAATCCTCAGAAGAGCCCTTTATAACAGAGACTACTCATGCCCCTGAATTACCCATGTGGAAAATAAGGCAGAGAGCGATTAACTACCTGTCCAAGCTCACCAGGTCTTTATGCAGCATTAAAAATAAAAACGGAAAGGGCAGGGGATTTAGCTCACTGGTTCCACCACCTGCCTTGCAAGCGCAAGGTCCCAAGTTCAATCGCCCAGTACCAAAAAAATAAAAAAGAGATGAAAAATAAATCTGGAAAAAAACACATCCAAGTGGCTAACAGCACATTTACTGCTGGGGGAGAGGAGCAAGGTGGCTCTTTCTGTTTCTCGTGCTTCTGTAATGTTTCCATTGCGCTCCAAAAGTGAACATATGTGCTCCAATTTTAAAATCACAATACAGTGTATCAGTCAGGGGAAAAGATGTGAAGGCTAATCTAAAAATATTCTTCAGGGCCTTTAAAAACTCACAGTGTCTTTTGTGCTCTCTGCTCGTTCCTGCTTTAGTGTGGACCAGCACTGTGGATGTGGCAGAACAACCCATGGCTGAGGGAATTCCTGGGGCAGCCTCTGCCTCAGAGATTTATGTGGATCAGGACCTGGCCCAGCAGGAAAAGGTAAGGTGTCCAAGGGAAGGACCCAGCTACATCAGCCAGAGGGCAACAGAGGGACTTGTTACCACCTCTTGTTTTTTGTGGCCTGTTGTCCAAGAAATCACCATTCATTTGACCAAAAGTTATATCCTACAGCACAACGTCTATGAGCCCCCGTTTACTAAGCACCTGGTGTGTGCACTTGGCATTCGTTCGCTCCTGTAATCTTTGCCACCTTCAAAATAGATTTTATCACCTTCGTTTTGCCAGTGAGGAAACTAAAGCTCAGAGATGTACGTGAACTGACCAAGGTTTGTGCAGTTTGAGAGGCAGAGCTGGGATTTGGAGCTGGGTCTGGCGAACTTCTAAGCTGGCATTATTGACTCCCACACAGTAACCACTCATCCATCCACACAAGACGGAACAGTCGTAGGAAAAAGGTCTCCCGGCTGGAGAAAGTGGTAGGTGACATCAGAAGCAACTGACCCAAGGAGAGACTTGTTATAGGACAAGGGAGACTTGGAGAACTGAATCAGGACAGGGTCAGGACAGGTACGTTTATCGACCCAGGAAACGTGGGTCCAGGCTGAGTTCCCTCCACTCAGCCGCAGTTTGAAATTGTCCTTAAGAAGTCTGTCTCCAGATGTCTTGCTTTCCTAAGGATTAGGGCTGAGTCTGTGGGGAAGAGGGCCGCCTGGTGACACTCAGGACATTCCCAGGAATCCACAGCACCCAGTGAGGGATGCTTCCGAGGCAGGTTTCCCAGGACCAGATGGCAGAATGTGTCCGGAGTAGAACAGCCAGGCTTGGACTTTGTCACGGCTGTGTCTAGATGTCCTCACAAAGCCTCGCGCAGCCACGGGGAGGGGGCGCTTTTTCAGAGGTGGCTGAATCTAGAGTGTGTAACCTGGGATTGACTCATGATGCAGTGCTAGAATCAAAGGCACTAGGATTAAGGTGTGAGTGCTGCCTGCCCTAAGTAGCCTGGATAAGATAAAAGGGACAGAAAGAGCTGTGGTTGTCCCTTGCTTGCTTTGCTACCTTCAGCCTGCCATGAGCTGTTGTTCCTCTCTGATGCCTCTCTGCCGTGACACCCTGCCGTGGAGCCAGATGATTATGGACTGAAACTTTTACAAACTGTGAGCTAAATAAACCTTCCCTCCCTTAACTTGTGGGTGTGGAGTATTTTGTCTCAGCAACAAGAAAAGTAATCAAGACAGACCCGCTGTCACTTACCCGCACTGGCCAACAAGCTGGCCCCAGACTTCGTGTCTTCTAAAAGCAGCTTGTTATTTCCCATGACTCCTCAGCTGGCCTGCAGGCTGCTTCGTCCTGTGTCTTCTTGCCTGTGCCGTGCACTGTGGTCACTGGTGCAATGGTGGGCCTGGTGGTACCAGGTGACTGATTCCCAGGTCCAAGACGGCAGCCAGGATGCCTGGAAGGTGAGCCCATCTGCTCTGGCTTTTCAAGCTGGATTTCTCTAGGGCCGTGGGGGCCAGGACAGAAGCTGCACATCGGCCGAAGAACTTGCCTGGAGATCACTGGGCCCCTCCCATCACATTCCGTGGGTCACAGGAGGTCCCAGGGCGGCCTAGACATACGGGATGGGGAATGAGCTCCACTGGATGGCACATCCTGCAAAGTATTTGTTCCCATTTTTAGTCCACTGCAGTTATTAAACTGGAAATACGACGCAACCATCTTTATAATTCTTTCTATTTATGATCCATCCATGCCCCGATTTGCCAGGATTCTTCCAAGTGCATGTGACAATAAACACACTGGTTTAAGGGAGGGGAGAATAAGAGCACTCAATGGCTCATTTTATTAGGGAAATGTAAAGATTCCTAGCATCAGGACCAGCTGGATCCAGGAGCTTGAAAGGTGTCATCAGAAGCCTCCTTGCTGCCAATTTCTCCTGTTTTCCTTGTAGTTTGGCTTCCTCCAGCAGGCTAGAAAAGATGATGGCAGACAAACTCAAGTCCGTAAATTTAAAGTTTATGACCTAAAAGGAAGCAAGATGCTCTTCCTCTTGTACTCGGTGCCTGGAATCTGCAGAGCTTGGGCGGACCAGCCTGAGTGACGGGGCATGGGGAGGCAGGACAGGAAGGAGCAGGCGCGTGGTTGACATGCCCACCAAGGACACAGGGCGGATGGGAGGCTGCCCCAAGGAAGGACACAGAGCCTCGCCGGGAAGGCGGACACCACAGCTGCAGACCACACCCCGGAGGCTCCTTTTATGCCAGTGCCCAGCAAATGTTTGTTGCATGAATGATGAGTGAGCATCGGCTGACAGAGGCTCGAGAGACATGTTTTGAATAAAGCAGGGGCCTGATCTGGGGCACGGACCCCGTCCCTTGAAATCTGATCACAGCAGTCGCCAGGACCCAGAGAAGGGTACTGGGCAGCACCCGACACTGCCACACAGGCTCCCGAGTGACCAGGACCCGTCCCTGCCTGTCGGGAAGCTACAGGTTCTTCGGGCTCGTCCAAGACTTCACAGACTGTGAGCGGGCCTGGAAATGGCCCTCCTACCTCCTTGTGACCAGTGGAAAACAGCAGGCAGGGTGAGGACCCTTTCAAAGTTATGACCGGGTGGGATGGGAAATGCCTGGAATCCCAGCACTCTGGGAAGCTGAGGCAAGAGGGTTCCAAAGTCTGGCCCAGCCTGGGAAACTGAGTGAGTTAGCAAGATCCTGTCTCAAAAATTAAAAGAGAAAAAAAAAATGAGGAGAGAAGAGCAGGGGAGGAGGGGAGGGGAGGGGAGAAGAGCCTGGGACCAGCGCCTGGGTTCAGCCTCCCACCCCCAAGTAGTGGGTCAGAAATGCACAGCTTGCGAGAGAAAGTCCATTTGGGGATTGTTTTTCCGTCCTCCTGATAGTTTTCTGATGCTTTCTGGGGAGGGCTTGGGGACTTATCCCCCTGTTGGGGAGACATCACAAATTCATTGGCTGCAGTGCTTTCTTCTTGGCGAGAACGGAAGCCAGCTTCGCTGCACCGGGGGAGGCTGCCGGACGTTCCCCCCGGCCGGCTCGAACTCACTGGGACGGAGGATCACCGCCCCCTCCCGGCTCCTCTCCCGGAGTCCCCAGGAACGGAGCTCTGCGTGAGTGACCAGGAGGCAGGCAGTGCCAGAGAGAGGACAGGAAAAGGAAACGCTTCAGAATGCTTTCTCAGTGTTACAGTAAAAACTGACTCTCATTCTACTCAGAATGTGCTGGAACCAGATGCCGTTTTCCTAACTGCCTTTCCTGGGTCCTGGAGCTCTAGACTGAGGCCTGGCAAGTTAATTCCTAAAAATATCATAAATAACTTTCTGGCCACAGAAGCTCCCAAGTGGACAAAAGCGTGATTTCAGGGCAAAGTTTCCTTAGCTTGCGGCATGGGCATCCAATACGGGCACGTGTGTGATCTTGAGCTTCTCGTCCCCCTGAGACTTCCCAGGCCACAGAGCGGCTTCAGCGTCTACCTCTGCCCTCCCTTCCTGTGCTCGCCTTCCCCGAAGCATGACCCCTACTCATCCTCTATCCTTAAATGGGCTCCAGCGTCACGCCCAGGCCCACTCCTAGCAAGCTTCCCTTTTGATCCCTATCCAGGATGAAATAATCCTGCTGCTGGGGAGAGAAGTCACCCGTCTCTCAGATTTTGAGCTTGAATCCAAATACAAAGATGCAGTCATAGCAAAGCTGCAAAACGAAGTGGCCAGGCTGAATCAGAAGCTGTCAGAAACCGCCACCTCCAGGCAGAGCGACAGGGGCATCCCCGAGAAGTTCCAGGGCCCGGATGAAGACAGCAGTGCCAGGCAGCAGGAGATCCAGAGCTTGAAAAGCCAGGTAGGACACGGGGACAAGCTGATGGGTGCCCTGGAGATGCATAGAGCGCCCTCTGACACACCCAGTATACACCTGAGAAGACTGAGGCAGGCCAGAGGTGTCCAGGGGTGCCCAGAGCTGGCACAGCACACTGGAGGTGACACACTTTGACCCCTGGTCTGACCCCACTTCCTGTTTCCGCCCAGTGCCGTCCAGCTCCAGCCAGGAGGTGCTGAGGGGGCAGAGGAGCCCTAGTCCTGCAGCACCGAGCCCCAAAGGTGGTTACTGGCTCACCTATGAGGAATCTCATCCAACAAAAATCCAGAATGTCTAGATTTACAGGCTATTCTCCTTCTCTGGAAACTAGATCCAAAATTCCCTTTTAAAAAAATTGGCTGTGGATTTTGTACATCAATTACAATGCAACAAAGTCCCTGAACAGTTCCATTCTCCACGCAGTGGTGCTTAGATGGCAGCCCACGCCCTGCTCTGGCTCCCTGCTCCCAGCTTCTCAGCTTTTCACGCCTGTACTCCACTCAAGGTGGCCGCTCCAGCCCTGAAAGTGGTGCCCTAGAAAAGGACCTGGCTGCCAGGCATAGCAGCACATGCCTGTAATTCCAGTTTAAATTTCTGAGGCAGAAAGGTCATAAATTTGAGTCCAGCCTGAGCAACATAAATAGCAAGGCCCTTCTCAAAATTAAAACTAAAAAGGGCTGGGAAAATAGCTCAGTGGTGCCAATTCCCAGTACTGAAAAACAATTTCTTTGTTGTTGTTTTCATTAAATAACAAGAAAGAAAAGGACATGGTTTATGCATGGCCACTCCACTGAGGGCTGAAGCCACCCCAGGTTAAAGGACTGGGCCCAGTGACCCCAGTGCCCTGATCACAGCGCTCTTTTCCATGGCTCAGTTACCCACAGTGCTATGGCTGTGTCTAGCTGTCCCCCCAGAGCCTCGTTGTTTTTCAGAGGTGGCTCAGTCTAGAGTGTGTGATTGATTCCGGGTGCAGTGCTAGACTGAGGGCCCTAGGATAAGGGTGTGAGTGCTGCCTGCCCTAAGTAGTGTGAGTACTAAAAGGGCGGGAAGATGCTGTTGAGGCCCCTGCCTCCAGACCTTGCTTGCTTGCTTGCTTGCTTGCTTGCTTGCTTTTGCTGTTTTCCCCTACCATGAACTCTTTGCCTCTCTGCCATGTGCCACCCTGCCTTGGAGCCAGCCAGTTAATGGACTGAAATGTCTATGGACTGTGAGCTAAATAAACCTTTTCCCTCTTTAGCTTTGTGTGTTGGGTATTTTTTCTCAGCACCGAGAGAAAAGTAAGTAAGACACACAGCCTACTGTGACCCGAGAAACAATATATAATTTGTTTTTTATTTTCATTTTTATTTTGGTACTGGATCAACTTGGGCCCTTGTGCTTACAAGGCAGGCAGCAGAACCACTGAGACAAACCTCCAGCCCTGTTTTGTTTTGTTTTTTATTTTGAGATAAGGTCTAGCTCCCTAGTTCAGGCTGGCTTTGAACACATTATGCAGCCCAAAATGGCCTCAAGATCTTCCTGCCTCAGCCTCCCAAGTGCTGGTATTACAGGCGTAAGCTACCACACCCCACAGTCATGGCCTGAAAATACTGTGAAAATTTACAGAAATAGACAATTCATAAATTTTAAATGACTATTAGAGCATATTGTTACAGTATTCTGTTTTTATTCATTATTATTAATCTCTCATCGGGTCTAGTTTATCAATTAAACTCTACCACAGTGGTACGTGTAGACAGGAGAAAATAGCACTTACAGCATTTAGCACTCTCCACAGTTTCCAGCCCCACGGAGGGCCTTGGGATGGGTCTCCAGCAGACAAAGGGGGTGTGACTCTAAGGGGACCATGCCCACCTGTCTGTCCATTCATTCAGCCAGATAAATACCTGTGGACGCTAAGTAAACACATGCACTCTTCTGGGCTCTGGGGATTCAGCCTGGATGAGAGAGATGGTTCTTTGCTTCCCCTGGTATATTCTGCTGAACTTTGGATGGCGAATGGCCCCACAGACCCACCTGCAGCAGTTGGCCACGCACACCACAGCCTTTTCTAGAGCCTGCCTTTAAGAGGGGGGCTTCGTGGCGGAGTGAGACCACTGGGGCCCCATCTTTCTCTCTTTGCTTCCTGGCCACCGTGAGGGCAGTAGCCTGCTCTGGCTCTGTCCCTCACACGGTACACTGCCCACCACAGCCCAAAGCCACGCGGACTGTCACCTTTACAAACATGAACCAGAACAAACCTTCCCTCTTTGTAAGCTGATTATCACAGGTGTCTTGTTACAGCAACAGAGAGCTGACTAATACACATTCCAGTGAAGGTAGCAGAATAAACAAGTAGATGCTCTAATATTGTCTTTCACTGAATGACCTTTGGGGGCCGAGTTTTGAAAAGACAATGGAACGAGGAGCTGAGAAAGCAGCAGCCGCCTTGAAGTGTAGCTGACTCACTGACGAGCACCTCCTCCTTGATCTGAGCCCCATTTTGCAGTTAGCTGAAGAGACTTCTCCGTCATCCTCCTTTTTCAGAGCCTTTCTTCCTAAGCCACATCCTGCCCAGGTCCATGCCCAGGGGTGAATGAGCCACACAGACCTTGAAGTCTGTGTTCGCAGGTCACAGTCTGAATACTGTTTACAGTAGCCAGCGATGTCTAGAAAATTGTTTTCCACCCAAAAAATTATCCAGAAGTAATTGCTCTGATTTATTGCCCTGTTGCCTCCTCCCTCCCTCCACACAGGAACTGGAGGATGCAGTTGGTTTGACTCCAAATCAGATTTCTTCTGCTCACATTATAGGTTCGTAAATATTCTGTTAGCACCCAAACACCCAGCCAGACGTGTGAGCCACGTGGCAGGCTGATTTACTGTTCTGATCGCTTTATATATGCCCCCCAGTCCCCAGAAAGAATGTGCGCAGTGGTTCGCTCTCAAAGATCTTCCACCTGCTGCCATACCGCTAGGAAATCCTAACCTCGGAGCCGCCTGGGCCACCCGTGCCAGTGGGCAGGCAGGTTATTATCTCGAAGCAATCACTCTTCCTAGCGCTATTAACTTTCCTATGCCCTGATGCCCATTTTATTACAGAGCCTACCAGGCAATAAACATGCTGGGATTTATGCCAATTATAGACAATATGGGCATATTAGTACAGGAAGAAAGGAAGCGGTTTGAAGACTCTTTGGAGTGGCTCCACTGTCTGAAACCCGAAAGCTCTGATAATACTTATATTGAAATATTTTATTATATCTGTCAGGCAGCACTGAGATGGGGGACACTGCCTCCCAGCCTTTCTGTAAATTCACCTTCACGCTGCGCCTCTGTTACCTTGCAGACCAAGGCATTAAGATAAAAACTAGCCACATTTTAAAAATGTGTCCCAAGTACCTTTTAAGGGAAGGTTGCAGTTCCTAATGGAGAGGAGGAAGAATTCTTCTCACTCAGAGGTAGACTTGGGGCAGGTAGCAGACAGAGTGGCCCTGCGGCCTCCTTCTCCCGGCATGCCGCTTCTCCTGTGTGTCATGTGCTCCAGAGAAAAGTAGTGTGACCTCCCGAGTGTCACAAAATCTAAACCACGAGGATGTGTGTGGTGAGTCCCATCAGCTGTCACACCTGCTGACGCTACACCACGGAGTGGTCCTGAGTCTCAGGGACAGGAACCGGAACACGGGCTGTGAGTGCCACCTGGTGGCGAGGCACCAGATCCACGTTCTCTGCATGCTGTCCCTGCCCCTTCCTGCTCCTGCCATGCCTGGGAGGTGAAGAAATTAACAAGGACCCTTCCACCTCCTCTGGGCAGCAGTCACGCTGGTGCTTGAGTCTGGGTATGATTTACAAAGGCGCACAAAAATATCAGTCTTTCTTCCTAAGATTGGCAAGAGAGGCAAAAGCTAAACCACAGTGGCATAATCACAGCTAATATCTTTGTCGTGTACCCTCGTGATGCCAACTCATTCTGACACTTTCGGCAGTCCAGTGAGGTCGGGACACTAATGCAGTCACAGAATGAGAAAGAGAGATGGAGCTCGGTATCCTCCTCTTGTCCACACAGCTGGAAGGCGGCACAGGTGGATCTGAGGGCCGCGGTCTGTCCCTAAAGCCCGTGCTATGCGTTACAGCCGCCAGCTCTGCGTGCTGGATCCCGGAGCCCAGAATCAGGTGCCCAAAGTCTGGATTTGGGTCAGAGCTTCCCCTCTGCCCTGCTGGGATCCTGAGCAATGGCCGCACCCCTGAGTCCTGATGTCCTCACTTGCACAAAGGGGGACGTCATCCTGGGAAGCTGCAAAGCTCTGCTGAAGGGGAGGCGTCAGCGAGCAGGGCCTCGAAAGTTCTCGAATGCTCTGTGAGATACGACCTGCTGTTGTTATCACCTGAGAGGGTTCATCTTCCAAGCGACTTTCCTCCCTGGGACTTAGCCCCACGCCCAGTCTGTGAGGCTGGTCTGTTGGCGGCTGAGCGTCCCAGGCAGGTCACAGAAACTCAGACCAAGGAGGCAGGTGCCCGGTGCCAGATGGTCCCGACCCCCAGGGGCACCAAGATCAGCTCACGCGCTGGTTACGTGGGAAAAGGCCCTTCCCGTCTCTTCCGCTCATTAAGACAGAAGCTCATGGTTTCTCCGATGCCCCAGCCAGGGATCAGGCAGGATCTCTGGCCAGCTCCGGGGAGGAAGCAGGGGTCCCCAAGCGGGGCCAGCGCCCTCTGACTGTGTGCCAGCTCCTCCCACAGGTCAGTGCCCTGCAGAAGGACTACAGCCAGGTGCTGTTGCAGACCCTGTCCGAGCGGAACTCGGAGATCGCATCCCTGAAGAGTGAGGGCGAGAACCTGCGGAGGGACAGCGCCCGCACAGCCGGTGAGCAGCGTGGGGGTGCGGCGCGTGCTGCCCCCAAAGCCCCCAGTTTGTGGCCGGGGCAGACATCACCAAACGATCGCCGTGCTTTCGCTCCCCAAACGTTAGCTCAGACTTGAGTTCTTCTCAGGGCCATCAGTGAATTCGAGCTCACCCTTCGGGAGTCTAGCTGCCATCTCCCAGTGTGGGCTGTGCTTGAAGTCGGCCCAGCATTCAGTGTGTTCTCGGCCAGAGGCCAGCTAAGCACCAGCCTTGGAAGGAAGAGCTCAGGCTAGCGTGTGGCCGGGCAGTGCCTGCGCCAGGGTGCCGTGGAGACCACCAGAGTGTGGCCAAAGTGGCGATCACTGAGTCGCCCAGCACCTCACCCACTCACCCGTCCTCTTGGGCTCCAGGGAAGGTGTTTTGCTGCTTGGTGAGCAGTGAGAGTTCCGTGCCAAAGGGCTTGGGCAGCCACCTCCTGTCCCCAGTGATGGCTCCTCCTGGAGCGCGCCGACGGTGGCCAACATGAGCACAGCACTCTTACTGCCTCTTGAGCTGCCTGTTTGATTGTTTGTTTGTTTGGTACCGGGGATCAAACTCGGGACCTTGTGCTTGCGAGGCAGGCAGCAGAACCACTGAGCTAAATCCCCAGCCCTGCGTTTTTTTTTAAAACAGGGAAGGTGACATCTTTACAAAAAGACATGTTAGCAAGGAATATGCAAGTTCAACAGCTAAAAGAGGAAGTGAATCAACTAAAGAATCAGAACAAAGAAAAAGAGTACCAGCTGGAGGCCCTGAGCTCCAGGGTGAGTCCTGGGCTCTGCATCCTGTCTTTGCAACAGTGTCCCGCACTCATTTCTCTTACCTTGGCCCAGATTTTATTTTCTTATTCGCGGGGGGGGGGGCTTTTTTTGAGACAGGGTCTCACTATGTAGTCAAGATTGACTCTGGAACTCACTGTGTAGCCCAGGCTGGTCTCAAACTCACAGTGATCCTCTTGCCTCAGCCTCTTGAGTGCTGGGATTACAGGAGTGCGCCACCACACCCGGCCCCAGATTTTAGATTTCACTGCCTCCTAGAGGTTGAGCCCAATGCCCAAGGGCATAAGGAGGATACTCAGGTGAGCCAAATCCTGAAATAGCCCCTACAGAGGACGGAAATAGGCAGGCAGCTGTGTTCTTTACAACTTTTCCAGAGCAAGCACAGAGCGGACTCACACCCGGCAGGCATTCCCCGATACTTGGTATGGATTTGTTTCTCCGACCCAGCCACAAGCACCCTACAAGGATGCACTTCCACGCTGGGCTCTGTATTAGGGTGGAGTCGCATCCCACCCCGTCCCCACCCTCCTAGCAGAATGCCGGGGTCTGCACGTGTAAGTGGACCAGGACCCCAGGAAGTGCTCTCGGGGCAAAGGGACCTTGGGGCTCCTCGGCACCCCTGCATGGCCAGCGTCGGCTCTGTCTTTGCTGTCCTTTTCCCCACAGTGCTCAACCCTCAAAGAAGAGTTAAGAAAGGAAGGTGCCCAAAAGGAGCACAGGGAAGCCCAGGAGAAGGAATTAAAACGCTGCAAAACGGTGAGTCAGACCTCCTCGCTCAGGCGCACACAGGAAACCAGACCTCGACCGTGGCTTCTGGGGTGGTGGTGGGGAACCGTGGCCGGCGCTGTGCCAAGCTCAGGGGCCTCTGTACGATCTTGAACGCAGTCTGACAACCCCGCGGCCTCTGCCTCGGCCCCGACAGACACAGTGGCGCTGTCTCCAGGGTCCCCCTGGGGCTGGGCACGGTCAGGGAGAGGGATGGGAACAGGAGCTGGCGAGCTGGGCTCCTCACGCTGCTCAGAATACACCTGCTTCCTGCCCCGGTCCTGGGACCCCCAGCCTTCTGAGTGTGCGGAGCCACGGGTGCTGCCATGGCACAAACTTCCTCTGGAAGGACTTGGGCCCACACCCGTCAGTGTCACAGCAAATCATAAAAACAAACCCAAAGTCGTCATTTCCGTAGACCAAAGGTAATCATAAGCATGATGAAAATACGGCCTTATCAAATGGGTTTGAGCCAGGCGTGGTGGTGCCCACCTGTAAGCCTAGCACTCGGAGGCTGAGGCAGGAGAATGAGTTCAAGGGCAGCCTCTACAGCATAGAGAGACCTTGTCTCAAAAAAAAACAGTGGTAATAAGAGGAAGAGGAAGAAGGAAGCGGGGAGAAGAGAGAAGGAAGAAGACTGAAATAAAATGTTTGCTCCTTGCACAGCCCAGTCCCCTCACACGTACGTCTCCGGCCGTGCTACACCCTGGATGAGGAGGAGGCCTGCTCTTCTTCGGCCCAGACAGCACTTCTCTCTGCCTTGACAGAAAAAGAAAAGAAAGGAAAGGAAGGGAGGAAAAGAAGGAAGAGAGATACATTAGATAGATAGATAATTCCGTTTTCCCAAATAGTCGGCCCTCATTTGAGTTGCTCTCCAGAATATACCCCAGCCAAGTGCAGGGCAGGGGCTGCTGTCCCGGCCCCTTGGGAGGCCGAGGCAGGAGGTCTCGGCATGTAGCTCAGTGGTACAGCGCTTGCCTGGCACGTGGGAGCCCCGGTCTCCAGTACTATGACTCTCCCCAAAGAAGGGACTCTCAGCCCTCGATGAGCGGTTCATAGGGTCGAATCCGGCACCTGTGCCGATTTCCAGCGGAGGCGACACGAGCGTCCCTTGGCCGGCCCTCGACTGTGTTCATGGGGGTGGGCGCCTTGCCCACAGGAGTAGCGCTCTCACACGGGGAAGGACGTGAGCCAGACTCCGTTTCCCCTTAGCTGGCGAGGTGAAAAGGGCATTCCCACCAGGGAAACTGATGCGGCTGTGGTTGAAACTTTTCAGCAAATCCAAGATATGGAGAAAGAAATAAAGAAGCTCAGGGAGGAGCTGAGGAAGTGCTCTTCTGAGCAGAGCACCATCTCCAGGACACTGCGAGAGAAGAGCAAGGTAGGCAGGCCCGGCCCGTGTGCCCCTCCGAGACCTAGGGCCTCCCAGCAAGGCGCTCCTGCCCCTCCCTACAGCGACCCCATGTGGTCGAGGCTGGTTTTTACCCTGACTAGCCTGAGAGGGGGAGTCACCTTTGTTCCTGCAGATAAAGTCGATTTGGTAGGACTTGAATCCAGAACTGACTCGGAAGGGCCCTGTGTAACCACTGCTCCCGACTGCCTTCCAAAACTGCTCCTTCCTTTTTCCTTTCCGAGACCCTCCCCTCCTCCAGATCCTAGTGGGTTTTACATTGCTTAATTATGTTCATATCTCTCCCCATCGTGAGAGAAAAACCTTCCTTAGGTATAGTAGGCTTGTGAGGTCCCCCACAGTGGACGCCAGCCACCCTGAACTATTAAAATTTATATAAAAGTAAGCCAGGCGTGGTGGCACAGGGAGCCTGAGGCAGGAGGATCACTGTGAGTTCAAAACCAGCCTAGGCTCAACTACATAGAACCTGTCTCAAAAAAAAAGAAAATTGGCCAGGCGTGGTGGCGCACGCCTGTAATCCCAGCACTCTGGGAAGCTGAGGCAGGAGGATCCTAAATTTGATTCCAGTCTGGGCAATTTAAGGACTCAGCAAGATGGTGTGTCAAAATTTTTTTAAAATTGGGCTGAGGATGTAGTTCAGTGGTACCACACCGGCCTCACGTGTGCAAGGTCCTGAGTTCGATCTCCGGTACCACAAAAAAAAAAAAATTTTTTTTTAATAAGAAGGACTGGAAGATGTCCCTCAGCGTGAAGACCTTGGGTGTGGTTTTCAGTACCACCCCTTCCCCCTCCCCCAGAAATCAATAAATAAAACAAATTCGGTTCCTCCGTAGCATAGACACTTTCCAAGCTGAACAGCTGTGTGGCAAGCGGCCAGCCTTCTAGACAGAACGGAACCAGGCCATAGCCCCACATCATGGAAAGTTCTGTCTTTTTAGCTTGGTGAAAACAATGGTGAATGACCACTTTTGACAACATAAGCAAATGAAGGATTAAAATATGTTTATGGATTGCAGGTTTTTAGAATTCTAAACCAAAAATATCTGTAAGGGTCCTGAGCAAAGTGGGCAAAATCTGTAGTTTCTCAATTTGAAGCAGCTACTTTATATGATTGAGACCATTGTCATTGAGAAAACTAATTTTTTTTTTTTGGTACTGGGGATCAAAGAGAAAACTAATATTTTAAGAGCAAATGCAAATAGCAGGGAATTCTGTGTGAGAAGAATCACTCAAAGATTGGGAGATAAAAGCAAAGGACCCCTTGTTTTTACTTAATATAACTGTCAGAATAATCACCACAAACTAAAACAAATAAAACTTCACAAGCTAAAATACATACTAGATCCGCGTGTGGTGGTGCACACCTGTAATCCAAGCCCTCGGGAGGCTGAGGCAGGAGGATTGCTGTGTGTTCAAGACCAGCCTGGGCTACATAGTGAGTTCCAGGTTAGTCTCGACTACATAGTGAGACCCTGTCTCAAAAAAACCCAAAAAAAAAAAAAATACATACGAGACAAGAACTGCCTGGTGCATACCATCTTGTTGATAATCCTAAAGCTCAAGAAAAAAAGTTGAGTAGACATAGTAGGCTTGACAGAAATAAGTAACACAAAATAAAACCAATAGTAGAAACCACACAGTAAAATTTCATATTGACTAAAACTTGATAGAAAATTCAAGCATTCCCCAAAACATTTAGGTGCACCAAATATAAGCCTTGGTGGAAATGAGGGTCACAGAGTCAGACACATGACAACAGAACTATGCCTGGTTTAAAAAAAAAATTGATAAAGAACAGAAAACTTGTAGGTGAATCAAATAGTATTTTTAAAATTTACCCAGAAGAAAACTGTTCCAGATAAACATAACTTCAGGAAAATAAGAATGGAAATGGAAACATTAGAACATCTTCTATACCACTGTCTTAATGAACGTCATTCTGTAAAATACCTTCTCAATGAAAGTGAATTAACTTCTCATGAAAATAGCTGTAGTCATGAACATGGATTCAACCTGCTCTGTGGTCTGCACATTTATCTCTAATAAGACTAGCTATATCCCACAAGTTGTAATGTGTGGTGTTTTCCTTGTTATTCAGATTAAAATTATTACCCAGTTTCCATTGTGATTCCTTCTTTGACCCATGGTCATATTTCCTAATTTCTAGACATGAGGATTTTCTGATGACCTGTTTTTAAAGGTTTTTAGCTTAATTACCCTTCAGTCTGAGAACAGCCTCTGTGTGATTCCAATCCTTTGGTATTAGTTGATATTTACTTGATGACCTGTGGGCATCATTGTTCCTCATGTCCACTTGAAAAGCATGTACATTCTGTGCTCAGTGGGTACAGTATTCCACACACGGCCGTTAAATCAGGTTTGCCAACGGTGTTCAAAACTGAAATGCTCCTGTTGACTTTTTTCTGTCTGTGTTGTCGGTCATTGAGAATGGCATTTTGAGGGCTGGAAATTTAGCTCAATGGTACCACCACCTGCCTGTCAAGCACAAGGTCCTGAGTTTGATCCCTGGCACCGAAAGAGAGAAAAGAAGAATGGCATTTTTTAAATACCGTCATGATTGTGGATTTGTCTGTTTCCTTTTTTAAAATTGTCAGTTTTCTAAGTTTTGAGTCTATGTTGTGAGGTGCATATAACTATCTTTTTACTACTTCCTACTGGATCAAACTCTTGAACCTCATGAGATGACTCTCTATCATGTGCACTGTTTTTCCATTAAAGTTCACTTTGTCACTGACACAACTCCACCAACTCCAGTAGCTTTCTTCTGATTTGAGTTTCATCATTTTTCATACTTTTTCTGTCAGTCCTTAAGTTTGTTCACAGCGGTGGTTTTTACAGAGTCCCGTTTGACATTCTTTGCCTTCTAACCCATTTACATGTAATATAATATCTGGAGTACTGGGATTTAAATTTGCCTTCTTGCTCAGTGCCCAAAGTACCGACTATGCTATGTTCCTTTCCCTCTCCATTCTTGCCTTCTTTTGAGTTGACTCGTTTTTCCCTAATTTAGCTCAGAAATTTTTCACTCTCACAGTCCCTTCTAGTAATGGTAAGACTATAGCATGCGTTCATAACTTACCCAAATGCTAGACTGAGTCTTTCACTCTTTTACTATTCTTTTAGTGTGATCCCAAAGATTACAGCATACGTTTTCAACTTACCAAAATCCAGTATCCACTGAGGATTGTGCCCTCCTCCTGAATGACACAGTGTCCTTAGAAATGACTCTCTGAGTGACTTCACTTACCCCATACAGACCCATGTGCCCTAGATGTCATTTTCTAAACTTTACTCTGTATTTGAAACCCCAAATGGCATAATTTGTTATATTGATATTTTAACATAATAATGTCAACGTTTCATGTCAGTGTAATAATGTCAGTGTTTAATAACTTCATGAATATTTCATACATCCCATGTCCACATCTGCAGATTGGCTTTGACTTTTTTCCCTCTCTGATCACACATCTGGAATCGTTCCCTTCTAAAAGACTGTACTTCAGTGCTGTCCTTCAGCATGACCCTGCTGATAATAAGTCTTGGGGGATGTGTGTGTGTGTCTAAAAATATCTATTTTAACCTTTTTTGGGGGGTGCTGGGAATCTAACTTGGGACCTTGTACTTGTGAGGCAGGTGGCAGGACCACTGAGCTAAATCCCTGGCCCTTAGCAATTTTTCTTTCTTTTTTTTTTTTTTTTGAGACAGGGTTTTGCTTTGTAGTGCAGGTTGGCCTTGAACTCACTGTGTAAACCATGCCGGCCTCAAACTCATGATGATCCTCCTGCCTCAGCTTCCTGAGTGCTGGGATGACAGGCGTGCACCACCACGCCGGGCCCTTAACCTTCCTTTTAACATAATTTGACTGAATATTGAATTATGCCCTTCATCACATGATGGAGAGCACTACGCTCTGCTCTGATCTACAGTAGCCCTGAAAGCCTCGTGTGTTCGGGAGGTGACTGGATCCTGGGGTTCTAGAGCCGACTGGCTGTTAGGGGCAGGGCCTGGTCGGAGGCCCTGGGGTGTCCCTGGATGGGGACCTGGAAGGTGTGCTCCTGTCCTGGCTCCTCCCCGCCTCTCCGCTGCTTCACTGCCGTGGATGGACGGCTGTCTTCCGCCCAGACTGCTCCACCTTGCTGTTTCTGCCTGGGCCTGAGATGGGGACCCAATGACCCCCTGCTCCTGCGCACCGTGGGTTTCGGGACTGTGTCCCAGCAATGAGAAGGTGGCCTGACAAGGGCATCGTTCTGTTGTCTCCCGGCCCCACTGTTTCTATGTAGAGGTAAAAGCCCTAAGCTTGACTCTTTCGTGTCTGTGCTCTGTCTTTTCTCCAGTTTTTCGGGTTTTTCTGTCCCCTTGGCACACAGCAGTTTTACTATGATTTCTCTAGGTGTGGATTCACTTATTTATCTCGGTTAGAATTCGTAGGGGTTCTTGAACCTTTGCTTGGTGTTTTTCCTTGGTCTGGACCTCGGGCTGTGCACTGCACACAGAGGCAGCAGGGGCCAGTGAGGGCCATGACAGGCACAGATGTGATCAAGTGTGTCATCCACTGTGATGACGGCGGCCACAGCCCTAACTGCTCATGTTCCGGCAGATACCAAGCATTCGTCTCTTTCCATCTTTGCAGCCGCTGTCTGATCTAGACATTGTCATCCCTGTCTTATAGATGAGGGAGTGAGCGAGGAGATGTGGGATCAGAGGCCAGGAACAAACCCAAGCCCTGCAGTGGGGAAGGGGCAACACCAGGACCAGAAGCCGGGTTTGTCCGAGGCCAGTGACTGTGGCCTAGCCTCTGGGCGTGCAAGATGGCTGAACTGGAGAGTGAATCAAATTTAAAACTCAACTGCTCCGTATCTTTGTGTAAATAAAACCGATTTTATTTCAAAATAAAACTTAAAACTCAGCACCTCCACTGAACAAGAAAGTAAATCTAAACCCCAATATGCTTCTACCGTGTTTCACACGTTCAGTGGGCAGATGTGGCCGGCAGCCACCACGCCAGATGGCAGAGTCCGGTCATCCGCACATTGTCACAGGACACTCGGCCTGGGGACTCTCTGGTGCCACTTCTTGCCAGCCTCAAGGGTCCTCGGGGCCTGGCCTAGGGCCACACAGGGCAGGAGCTCAATAAAATATCACTGACGCACCGATGGGGTCCTATTCCTGCTGGGACAGGGCAGGACGGCAGTGTGACAGGTGGCACAGGTGGCCACTGTAATGGCTCTGGGCGTGGGGCTGTGGACCAAGGAGGCCACGCTTTAAGATGAGGAGCACGGAGCAAATCCAAGAGTTGGAAACTACTGCCAGACGGAAGCCAGGTGCTGAGGCTGAGGGACCACACGGGGAGCGGCTACGACCAAAGGGACGCCTGGCTCTTCCAGGCTGCTCGCCCCACACCGCTCAGAAGAAAGCTCGTAAGGGCTGGCCTGGGTTGGGCTTGGGGAGTTTTGCACTTATGGGGATTGAACTCGGGGCCTTCAGACTGAGCTACACTCCCAGCCCCCTTTTATAAATTATAATACAGGGTCTCACTGAGCTGCCCAGTAGCCCAGACTGAGCTCAAAATTTAGCAGTCCCCCTGCCTCAGCCTCCCAGAGTGCTGGCCTTAAAGGCATGCACCACCATACCCGGCTTGTCTGCGGTCTTTTATTACATCTGTGCATCCCCTAAGAAATGGCTCGTGAGGTTCTTTCAGCACAAAATCTCTCCACACAGTGGGGCAGGGGAGGTCACCTCATTTCCTGGTAGTGCGGGAGCCAGGACTCAGAAGACGCTCACAAAACACCATTCAGCACTGACTTGCGAGGCTTTAGGGCCGCATCATGGCCATGAGATGGAAGCAGTGAACACTCCCAGCTCACCTAGTCCGGACCACAAGCAAAGCAAGGGCGTAAGCAGGCGCATTTCGGCCTCACACCCACCTTTCAGGTTGTCGTTCCTTAAAGGCCATCCGGGGCTGTTTCTACCTGGTGACTGCTACAGAATAGTAATGACAAATCACTAGGACAGGAAACCCAAGTGTGACCTGCACAGAGGCCCCACGGGCCAGCTCCTCGGGGCTAGAACAAAGTCACAGGGCAGACATCCCGGCCCTGGTCACAGAGACACCCGTACCTAACACAGGCCTGAGGTGCAGCGCTCCTGGAGGTGGCCAAGTGTCTTTGCCCTGATTTGTCCCTGACTGCTCACGGACCGGTGAAGTGGCTCTGCCAGCGTCACTCGCCTCACCAGGGACGCACCAGGATCCCATCCTGGGGGAGAATGAACTCAGGACACTGCCGCCACCCCCCCGTGTGACCCCGCCACGTGGGCTGCAGCCATCCCCACCCCTCTGGGACCCCCAAGGCCGTCAGATGTCTCCCCAGGGTACTTTATGACCACATTAGCAGCCAGTGCAAGCTTTCATTGTCCTTTTAGGTTGAAGAGAAACTTCAGGAGGATTCCAGGAGGAAATTGCTTCAGCTGCAGGAGATGGGGAACAGAGAGAGCCTCGTTAAAGTCAACTTGGTCAGGGCAGTAGGTCAGGTAGGCGTGTCCAGGGCCCCTTCCTTGACGCTTCCCCACCGGTTCCCGCACCCAGGTGGTCCTGCGGTGCACGAAAGAGGAAGCAGGCTGAGGCAGGAGGGTGGGCGTGGCGTACTTCACTGATCTCGCAGCCAGGGGCCTCTGTGGCTGCCCACACCAGTGGAGTCACTGAAGAGCTCTTTCCTGCAGGGAGGCTCCTAACACCCAGCCGAGCGGCCAGTTCCAGTGCTGACCACCATCTTTCTTACTCTGGGACCCCAGCAGAGGTCACAGTCAGTGTCCGTGAGAAAATGACACTTTTCTTAATAAAGCGGACCCCCCTTGTCCAGAGTCCTCGCTGGGTAGAGAAGGAAGCTGGAGCGGGCCCTGACCTGGTTGGGCGGAGGCACCGTTTCTCAGAAGCACTGGCCCAAGACAGCCCCTGCAGCCCAGTGCACAGAGCCAAGCCGTGAGGACAGAACTCACAGATGAGATCAAACCAAAGCGCCCCTCACCGTCCCCCAGAATGGACCACAGGCCACCCACTTCCAGTCCTGTGCAGGGGCCTCGCCTAGTGATGACAGCTCTGGGGATCGATAGAACATGTGGGGTGTGTGCGTGTGTGTGTGTGTGTGTGAGAGAGAGAGAGAGACAGACAGACAGACAGACAGAGACGCATACAGACAAGAAAGACGGAGACGAAGAGAGAAAGCATTTTATTTCTAGGAGGGAGGGTCCACCATGTTACTCATCGGATCTCAGAAGGGCTGTGAACCCCCAAAGATTAAGAACCGCAGCCCACAAAGGATCCCCACACCACCAGGCAGGGGCCCAGAGCCCTTCCACTGGTAACCATCCACGTCTTAAGCAGGCAGCGGGGCTCCCTCCTCCTGCTGACGACACCAGAGGTGCACACGAGTTCCGTAAGGATGCTCGGCCCTGGGCAGATGTGAAAGTGTCTCCAGCAGACTTGCCGCACGGCCACACGCCACACCGTGTCCCCTCTCCTGAAGTTCCCCTGCGGTCATCACAGGCAGGGGCCTTGCTAGCGGCACAGCCTTGAGCTGGTCTCACCTTCCCTGTCCTCTGTACCCTCCGGTGCACACCTGATCTGAGGACAAGACCGCTTGCCCGAGGGCCAAGGGCCCCCTGACGGCTCTGGACAGAGGGCCCCCAGGAGAACCCTGGCTCCTCCCGGAGCAAGCTCGAGAGAGGGCCAGCCCTCTCGCAAACCTTGTCCCCCCCGGGGCCCCGCCCCCATCTGACGTCCTGCCCTCCCCAGCAGAGTGGCTCAGGCTGGCGCCCACGGTCCAGGAGCACCAGTCCCTCCCTCCACCCCAGGCCTGGGTGACTCTGCTCACAGGGCCTCCCCTTGGGTCAGCTGGGACCTGCCCTGGGACTGTCTCCTGACAGCCGATCTGCTTCTCACAGGGTGACCTCAGGCTCGTCCTGGGGCCGTCACCATCTCCTTGACTGCCCAGAACCCTCGTGTACTGTATGCTCCCGGGTCTTGGACCCCTTGATTTCTCCCTTGGTCCGGTAGGTCTCTCGGGTTCCTCCAGAGCTTTGGGTTAGAGTTGTTGGTGACCACACCTTTCCAGTGATCACCAGCACAGCCAACCATGCAGGTCAACCTGAGGCAGTGGATCTCTGCCTCTGCCTTCACAAGGCATCCAGGACCTTGATTCTGTGAGCGCTGATGTGACCCTGCCTCGTACTGCCCTCCTCTACCTGCAAACACCAGCACACAGCAGGGAACGCCAGCTGCTGGGACTGACAGAGGTGCCGGGCCCCGACAGATGTTTCTGTGTCCGGGTGCCCAGTGCATGCTTGCAGAGTGATTCCTCCTTTGCAGGCCCTGTCCTAGGCCACAGTGCTCCAGGACACAACATGGCAGAGAGAGAGCATTCTCCTGTCGCTAGGCGCCTGTGCTGATTACATGATTTACTGGGCTGACAGCTTCAATATTTATTTCACAGTCTGGTGCCAACTTAGCAATTATAGAAGAGCTCCTGGCCCCAGACTTCCCATTGGATAATTGGCAGCAAGTGGCTCTTTCGAGGGCCTGAGATGCGTGTGCTCAGCTCTGCGCTGGCTGCCTGAAAAGTAATTAAACCCTGCTGCGTCCCTTGCTTCTGAGAAGTGCGAAGGTTTTGATGATACACAATGGCCGTCAAGGCGGGTGGGGCTTTCTTTCCCGGACCCCAGGGTGGAAATGCCACCCACCCTTCGCCTGTGCCCTCAACCTCTGGCTGACCTGTCGCCACCCCTGTGTCACAGCTGGAGCACTTCAGAAGCCAGGTCGTCAAGGCCACCTGTGGACGAGTGAAGCCGTCTCTAAGCGGGCCCATCACCGACCGGCAGGTCGGTGCAGCTCTCGTACCGTGAGCCTGCTTTGTCTCCTTCACTTTCCTCTCCCCTCAGTTAGTAAATACGCTCCAGTCTTGATCCTTGTAAATTCCCCTCCCGACCCTTTCTCGTCCCTGGACCTCCTTCCTATCTTGCCAGAGAAGCAGCTCTTGGGGTCACTGATCCTTTGTGTGTTTTTGTCTCGATTTCATGAGTCTTCCCTTGGATCTCGGTCATGGCTTTCCTTACACTCGTTTCAGATTTGGCTCTTTTCTTTCTGGGACCATGAGTTGCATCGTCATCGGGTTACTTGCTGGGGCTCATACTATTCTTTTGAAGAGCACATTTCCAGGGGCTGAGGATTCAGCTTAATGGTTCCGCTGCCTGCCTTGCAAGCACAAGGACTGGAGTTTGATCCCCAGTACCAAAAACAACAGTGCATTTCCAGCTATAAACTTGCCTCTTAGAAATACCTTCATCATATCCTGTAGGTTTTGCTATTTTGTGCTACCATTGTCATTTGGTCCCAGGAACTGTTTTATTTGTACTGTTTCCTTCCGTGATCCACTGATTCATCACTATTAGTTAGTCTCCGTGTATGGGTTCGCCTCTGCATATTTGCATGTTTAAATAAATACGAAAGGGTCTAAGTAATCCCCCTGCAAGCTAACGGGTCACAGCAGAGTGAAGCCTGAAATCAACAGTGAACGAAGCCACAGAAGAGCCACAAACGCTCCTCCTTGGAGATCTGGATGCCAGACCCTGGCAGCATATGTCTCTGTTTTTGTTGGTGGCACATATTTTTCACACTGTTGCTACACCATAAAGATTTGTTTTGATTTTACGGGATTTCCTGGCTTTTAAAGTAAAAGCCAGTGAAATTCCCTTGAAATGTTCTTGTGAAAATCAACTTCAGCTGGGCAGGCCCACGGCGAGTCACCGGACGTACACCCTGGAGCTCGGAGGGGGCGGCCTCGCCTTGGTCCAAGTGCCCTGCTGGTTCCTGGGGAGGTGGCGCTGACAGTGAGGCTGGGCCTCTGGGTGGTGCCTGGCCACCTTCTGGTCTTCTGGGACTCTTGCCTGCCCCTGGCTCAGACAGTGCAGCAAGAGACCACACGCGGGCTGCCCTCTGGCCTGCGTAGGCGCCATCCCCACGGCAAGCAGTGAAGGACCTGCCGGAGTGATCTCTGAGTGGGGGCAGGCATCCTCACGACAGCGCCAGTGTCGTTCAGAGCCACAGGTCACGGCCTTGCTCCTGACCATCAGCTAAACTGCCACCCTGCACACCTGCTCCCAAAGCCAAGCTGCCCGTGACAGCCTTTTTCTCTTCCTCGCCAGCTTATAGAGAGGATCACCCAGGTCACCGAGGACAACATCAACTTTCCACAGAACAAGTGGAGCCTGGAGAAGGGGACCCAGCCGAGCAACTCCAGGCAGGAGGAGACCTCGGAGAACACCGAGAGGCTGAGGACAGCGCTGGAAAGCTGCCAGGTGCCCACCCGACCCCACAGCCGGGCCTGTGTCTCCTCCTGTGCTCTGCCTTTGGGAGGTGTCGGGCTTCCGGGAGCAGGTTGGGCAGGAGGGCTTCGTGTTTCCCCTCCTTTTCTCTTGTTGGAGAACAGAAAAGTCGGGACCTTAAAAATGCTTCCCAGGTGAGTGAGGGAGGCCAGGCGGAGCATCTCTGAGAACAGGCAGCCCTCAGTCTCTGCGAGTTTCACATCCAATCGTGAATCAAAATATGTGACGTGAAAATTTTCATCTGGACTAAAGAGTTTTTGCAGTGGGGGCTGAGACAGGGTCTCACTATGTAGTTGAGACTAACCTGGAACTCACTATGTAACCCAGGCTGGTATCGAACTCACAGCGATCCTCCTGCCTCAGCCTCCCAAATGCTGGGATTACAGGCATGCGCCACCATGCCCGGCTTGTACTAAAGATTTTTATCTGAACTGAACAGACATATATATAAAAGTTACAGGATAAAAACCATCTACCCTACATAGCAACTCCATTGTATTCAGCATTATAAATCATCTTGAGATGATTAAAGCATGTAGGAGGCTGTACATAAATTGTATGCAAATACTGGACCATTTTACATAAGGCACTACAGCACCCTCAGATCGTGGTGTCTCGGGGGACAGTCTTGGAACCACCCCCACCCCCATGCACACCAAGGGGCTTTGAACTGACTAGGTCTCCAAGCCCAGGAAAAAAGACAGGTACAACTCTCACGGTATTTCCAGAGAAACAGAAGAAATGTTCTTGCCAGGCGTGGTGGCGCACGCCTGTAAAATCCCAGCACTCTGGAGGCTGAGGCAGGAGGATGGCTCTGAGTTCGAGACCAGCCTGGGCTACATAGTGAGTTCCAGGTCAGTCTCAACTACATAGTGAGACCCTGTCTCAAACAAAAAAACAAAAAGAAAAAAAAGAAATGTTCTTTATCATTACTTGCATTTCCTTTATCGGCACGGCAACAAAAGCTATTTCCACCCATGTATTGCCTGTACCTGTGGAGAAGCCAGGACCGTGGGGCCCAAGTGCGTCCCCACCCCCACCCTGAGATAACCGGAAGTGGAAGCTGCTCCTGCTTTCTCTTAAAATCAGCAGCTACTATTTGGGTAATTTGTGCAAATGTTGGCTTATCAGCACTCTTTCCAAAAAAAATCAGGAAACCACACTCTCTGACCAGCTGGGCCCTGATCTGGGCAGGATTTCTGATGACTAGAAGTAGCCTAGTTTGGGTCTCATTTCAGCCCTGTTGTGGATGGCAGTTTGACTTGGGGATTGCACATAGCTTAAAAGGCACTCCCTGTGACCACTGATGCTTCAAATCAGAGCCCAGAACTGTGAATGCTGCCCTCAATACACAAATCTTTTTTAAAAATCTGGGCCCTCCCAGGGGGGCTAAGGTGCGGGGTGCCTGCTTCGTGGAAAAATCAAGGAACCAAGTCCTTTGCCAGCATCACTAGGTGCTGTTTCTGGCTACAGAGTCTGGGATGCTCACGATTTTGTCTGTTTTCAGGGTTGCATGAAAACATCCTGCTGCAGCAGGGACCTAAAGCGGGAGGTGGATCTTCTGCGGGGCCTCCGGGTGAGCCCACCCGTGTCGGGACTCCAGAAGGTGACCCTGGACATCCTGAGCCTCTCACTGTCCTGGCTGGAGGGGACGGAGCAGCTCCTCGGGGATGTCGGCCTCCTGCTTCCCGGCTCTGACAAAGGTTACTGGGACTCTTTCTCACGTGACTGCGTGACTCTAAAATGTCATGGTGAATCTTCCTGTGATGAGGCATCTGTTGAGGTGGGGACGTGGCCAAGTCTTCCCTTCTCCCAACCCACTTGGCTTGGGAAGTGGTTTTCCTTTAAAACAAAAATACCCTGAGCCGGGTGTGGCAGTGCACACCTGTAATCCCAGCACTCGGGAGCCTCAGGCAGGAGCCTCCCCACGAGTTTGATGTTAGCCTGGGATACACAGTGAGTTCAAGGCCAGCCTGAATTACAGAGGGAAACTCTGTCTCAAAAAACAAAAAAACAAACAAAAAAAAGCAACCAAAGTGGGACTTGATCACCGAAGGACATGAAACAGCAGAGACAAAATGAAAATTAAATTATAAGCCCGGTCTCTCAGCAGGAACTGTAGTGCTGATTCTAATTTCCACAGCCTTTTCTGTGGTAATAGCTGTGTGATTCTGCACAAGTTACTTCCCTCTCTGTGCCACAGCTTCCTCACCCGTAAGGCACAGATAATAAGAGGTCCCCACCTCACTGGGTCCTGGCAAGGTTAAAATGCATGGGTCTAGCCAGGCATGGTGGTGCACGCCTGTAATCCCAGCACTCGGGAGGCTGAGGCAGGAGGATCGCTGGGAGTTAGACCAGCCTGTCTGTGCCACAGCTTCCTCACCCGTAAGGCACAGATAATAAGAGGTCCCCACCTCACTGGGTCCTGGCAAGGTTAAAATGCATGGGTCTAGCCAGGCATGGTGGTGCACGCCTGTAATCCCAGCACTCGGGAGGCTGAGGCAGGAGGATCGCTGTGAGTTCGAGACCAGCCTGGGCTACATAGTGAGTTCCAGGTCAGTCTCAACTACATAGTGAGACCCTGTTTCAAAAAAACAAACAAACAAACAAAAAAATGCATGGGTCTACGTGGAGCACTTAGAATAGTATCTGACACAGAACAAGTATTCCTTTTGCTTACTTAGGATTTTTGAGCCTGTTATACCCAGTTTTCTCTAGCTCTGTCCCTCGTGGTGCAGTCAGGAGCCCCTTCCCTTTCAGCACACACAGGCCTCCGTCACAGCTGTCTCTGACGGCAGAGCACTGCACTGTGGGAGATGTAGCCAACCCCAAAGGTGTCTTTGTTGCTTCCCAGACTCCAGACGTAGGTAATGCCCAGCTGACGTCTTTTCTCAGAGGCCTATTCGGCCCCAGGATCCTAGAGGCGGAAGCTGGTGGGTGAACTGCTTCCTCAACACGGGGTTTTATCGCACACTTACTAGACACAGGGACCCAAGCGGGGTACCGTGGGGTTTGAATCCGGTAGCCCCAAGGTCATGGGTATACAGGTGCTCCCTGTGAAATTCTTCCGACTTTATGTCTGAGATTTCTCATGATAAAATATTTGCAGGCAGCGGAACAGGCACCATCCTTGCCTTCACGTGGCGTATGGTGGCACAGAGTGGGATAAGCATTCATCAGAAATCATCCCAATGCACGTAAAACTTGTATGGTTACAGTTGCTGTGATGATGTGGTCAGGGAGGACGGGGCACCTGCAGGATGAGTTTGCCAAAGAGGGGAAGGGAGGGCGTTCTGGGCAGGGGCGGGGGCGACCCCGGAGATTTTAAAACACGGGGGAGGTGAGAGATGCTGGTAAGAGAGGTCGGCAGGGGCTGTTCATGCAGAGCCTGGTGAGATGCCTGCTTTCTCCTAAGTCTGGCAAGAAACCAGTGAAAGGCTTCAAGTGAGGCGTTCAGGGGCCGGGCTTGCAGCACAAGGCTGTCACCAGAGGTGGTGAGTGAGCATCCACCCCGGGTGTCAGGGACGATGATGGCCACACAAGGACAGCAGCAGAGAGTATCGGGCGGACCGGCTCGCAGGGCCACACCCTGAGGAGCTCGCAGCTTTTTGCAGATGCCCCACTCCCCTAGGGGAGCTGCAGAAAATTGACATTCTCACAGCAGTGATTTTCCTCCAAAACAGGCAAAAGCCAAAATAAGATGGACTTTTTTGCTAAGTGCCTGCCCCTCATTATAACACGAAGAAAGGGGAGAGAGGAGAGGTAGGGTGGGGTGGCAGGGCTGGGGCCCTCCGCTCCCAGTCAGCGTCACAATGGCAGGGCTGTGGGCTTACATAAAACCCGGCCGATGCTCCAGGTAGGAGCCACTGTTCGCCCTCCCTGGGGGACCCTCTCAGCCCCCGACGCTTGTGTCTGTAAATCCAGCCACAGGTCACGGTAGAGAAATGTGGCTGGGAAGTTCCGCTGCCGGCCCAGCAATCGCAGAAAGGCTGAGACAGACTGGCTGAGGGCAGTGTTTGTCAGACCTGCCGTTTTCCATCCCAGACTTGGCAGAGTCGTGAGGTCTGAGCGACTTTACACTTCACACTCACTGTGGGTCCCCAGGAAAGGGAATGTGCATCCCCAAATGCAGGTCTCCTGCCTTGCTACCCTTGGCTCTAAGAAGTCAGGAGAAAAGAGCAGAGAGTGTAACAGGCAGATTGGTGAGGAGCACCCACCCTTCATCCACTCGGCCCGAGAGGAGTCAATGGCAAAGGTGTTTTCTCTTCCAGTACAGACAGCATTAGGGTGAGGTCCAAAAGGCGGAGAGAAAGGGGTGAGCCACACTACCCCTAGATTCTCTTCTGGGGCACCTGATTCCTAGCACAGAGCTGTGTGTGTGTGGAGAGAAGCAGAGAAGAAGGAAGAGTTTACCTTCGGAAATGATACCTCTTACCTTGGTCTCTGCCCAAGGTAAGGACCGTCTGCCTTCCGGGAATCACATGTACCTGGCACCCCGCTGAGTCCCCAGAGAAAGTGCTGGGTCAGGAAGAAAACACAAGTGTTAGGATCACAAAGCCCTCCCTCTGGCCCTATGATTTGACTGCTGTGAACGCTCGGAGTCTCCTGTTTCTTACCTGTACAGCAGTCAGTGGCAGCGCCTCCCTTGTGGGGCAGCGTGGGAGAGGCAAGGAGGCTCATGGGAAATCCCATGAGCTCACAGGACACAGCGCAGTGTGAAGGACCCGGGAGGAGTTTAAGGGCCACGGCCCCTGCCCTCCCCTCGGCAAGGCAAGGCTGCAAACACAGAAGGCTCTCGGATGCTTGTGGTGGTGGTGAACAGGTCGGGGAGCCTTGCTGGCCTCAGTCACATGAAGCCCTTCGAGCTGCCTTCTCCCAGCAGGATAATCGCAAAGACAGTGTTGGAGCCAACTCTCGGATTTCCTTAGTGGGGGTCACGGGCCCTGCCTCGTGGGGCTGTCCTGAGAAGAGCTGAGACAGGTCAGAAGGACGCTGAGGTGGCTCCTGAATATCAGCGCTCAGTCACGGACAGTGACTTCTGCAGTCACCTTCACCGCATCGTCACGGCCATCACCACCATCGCTGTCGATGGCTCTGTCACCAACCTCACCTTCTCCTTCTCCTCCTCTTCCTCTTCTTCCTGGTACTGGGGATTAAACCCAGGGAATTCACACTGAGATACATCGCTAGCCCTTTTTTTAAATTTCTTATTTTGAAAGAGGATCTTGCTAAATTGCCAAGGCTCGAGCTTACAGTCTTCCTGCCTCAGCCTCCTAGACTGCTGGGGTTACAGATGTGCACTACGACACCCACTCTGCTTCTTATAAAGGCACTAATGCCACGATCCAGGCCCCCCACAAATGACCTCGTCTAACCCCAGTCACCTTCCAGAGGCTCCGCCTCCAAACCCCATTAAGACATGACCTTGGGTGGGGACGGCCAACCACCTTGGAAAGCCCCACTTGTATTACCATGTAATTAATGGTCCCGAGTATGGCCTTTGGAGGCCAACTAGCTCCTTTGAATTTCAGCTGTGCACTTGCTCGCCACATAGGAAAGTTACTGGACATCTTTGGACGGACCTCGTTATGGGCACAAATCCTCAGCCAGCTCCGTGAGACCTGGAGGACGGAGTGCCTGGGTCACAGCAGGCCTTTAGTGAGTGGGCACTGCTCTCCTCAGCCCGAGCGCTTGTGGGTTGACTTACTCACAGCATTGTGGCCTGTCAGGAACCCACTGCATCTCCGTCTGTCATCAGCGGTGGCCTCAGCCCAGGAGGGTGGGAGCAGAAAGAGCCATTTCTAGGTGTCCCCACTTCATGCAGTAAATCCCAGACTCCATGCAAAGTCCCCAGCCCTCAAAGCCCTGCTCTTAACTACTATGTGACCCACTTTTAAAACAGTGTCTTGAGCAGTAAAATATACATAATATGCCTAACAAGGGCTAGGCATTCAGCTCAGTGGTTTTGCCACTGCCTGCCTTGAAAGCACAAGGGCCAGAGATCAATCCCCCCCCATAGCTAAAAATAAAAAATACACACTTTTGTAAATCCTGACCTAAATCCCCAGAGGAATCCAGGTGGTCTAAAAGTACAGGGAAACCACTCAAAGTCTTGCTGGGTGACATCCTGGGCCCCCCAGAAGGCGAGGCCTGGCAGGGTTCAGGCGTCTCTCACCAGCTGTCCGGTATAGGAAGGGCTCCCAGGCAGGTCCACCAGGAAGCTGGCAAACGTCTCCAGGAGCCTTGAAGGTCGGCTGCCCCCACTCCTGCCAGCCTCCCAGACTTCCTTGATAAGGGAATGAATGGACTGCAAACATTATTCTTTGCACACCTAGCTGTTTGTATCCATTTCTGCAAGACTTTGTTGCAGATGAAAGAACTTCACTGGACACGTGGAAAATTGCCCATTCTCAAATATTCAAGGTCGGCAAGATCTTCAAACGGACAGAGAAGCAAGTTGCAATTACAGTATGCACCGTGTGCTCTCAGGTTTGTCCTTTAAAAAAGTATCTGACTGAAAGAAAAATCTGGAGAAAAAGATTCTAACCATGGAAAATCCCAGCAGGGTGGGATCCCTCAGGACCTTCACTTGGGTTCAGTGATCAGCAGCTGTTTCCTGAGGCCCTGCGGTGCCGGCTGCTCCGCGGACCCCTGAGGAGGCAGCCGTGTGTCTCGCCACTCCACGTTCTGGATCTCGGGATGTTTGGATTTGTGTAACGAATACATGGAACTTCGCCAGCCAGAAATACAGTGAAGGCCAGACTGCCACTCCGATCACGGCCGCGGTCTAACACAGATCACGACGCTCCCTCGCCCCCTCAGCACCCTCGACTCCCTTCCGCCCCTTCTCCCTTCGGTGAGCTTCCGTTATTTCTCCTGTGCATAGGAGAGCTCTTCCTTGCCAGGTTGATCGTAACGATCAGAAGAAAGACATAAAACTCCCGGCCCGGTGCCTTGACACATAGCAGGAGCGCAATAGCAGACAGGCACCGCTGGGATAGTCTCATTCTGACCCCTGGAGGTCACGCGGTTGCCCCTCACTGTCCCTGCTCTTCTCCCTTCCTTCCCCGGTCCCCGCCCTGCGCCTCTCCCTTGTGCCGGGCTCCTCCTGAGTGACACCCTCCTTTCTTCGGCACCCGCACGCTTTCCTACCCTCCTGGCTCCTTCCCTCCGCAGCCCACCGTGCCCTCCCAGGATGGCGCCCCCGCCTGGAAGGTAGTTCCTCACGGAACCACCGCTTCTTTCCGTGCTGTTCCCACTCCTTACTCCTCCTACGACCTTGAAGAAGTGACCACACCCGCGTTCAGCGCCGGCTTCCTGCTTTCTCCGCTCTGCGCCTTGCCCGGCCAGGTGACACCTGGCCCCCTGCGGCTCTGGTGGCGCCGTCTTCCCCAGGGCCTCGTCCCCTCAGCCAGCAGCTCTCTCGGCTCTCCTGAAACCCTGGTCCCGCTCCGGGGCCTGGGCAGGTGCCTCTCTTCTGAGCTCTTCCGCTTGTTCCCAGTAGCCTCATTCACCAGTCCCCGTCCCTGATACGAGCCAGTCCTGCCACGCAGCCTTTGGTCCTCCCCTCGCCTGCCTCCTTGTTCACAGAGAAGCGTCCCCTGCGAGTGACATCGGTGGGGGACAAATGTCCCTAGCAGGGCTGCCAGGACAGAGTGCAGGCAAGGTCTTCCGTAAAGGGGACACATGTTTTCCATTGAGTGTATTGGTACTTTTTAGGTACACAGCACAGTTCCGTTCATCGTTGGGGTCTTGGGCCTTTACGTGCCAGGTCTTGGTTCTCATTCTGTCCCCATACCCCTGACACCCTTCACCCCCTCCACCCTCCCCGATTTACAAAGACTTTGTTTCCATGTTTTCCTTTTCTCGTATTTTTTCTTTTCCCTTCTTTCCTTTCCCCTTCCCTTCCCACTTCCCCCACACCTTTGCCCTTTTCTATACCTTTATTCCTATTTCACATTATCAGTTGTACAATTTGGATCTTATTTACTCTTGTAGCTTTTCACACCAGAGAAACCGTTTGGTATTTACACACGTGTGTCTTATCTATTTCACTTAAGAGTATGGCCTCAATATACATCTATTTTCCTATGAATGACTCTAGTTTCTCATTCTTTATGGCTGAATACTACTCTGTTTTATAGAAAAACCACATCTTCTTTATCCAGTCTCCAATTGATGGGCAACTGGGCTGTTTCCAAGTTTTAGCTATTACAAACTGTGCTGCTATAAACATGGGTGCATATATGTCACTGCGATATGATTCTTTTAATTCTTTTGGGAAGATACCCAGCAGAGGGATGGCTGGGTCAAATGGTAACTCTAGTCCCAGCTCTTTGAGGTATCTCCATATTGATTTCCAGAGTGGCTGCACCAGTCTGCACTCCCACCAACAATGGAGAAGGGTTCCTTTCTCCCCACGACCGCTCCAACATTTGTTATTGGTTGATTTCTTGAAAGCAGCCATATTTTGTGGGGTGAGGTGGAATCTCAGTGTTGTTTTCATCTGCATCTCGTGAATGACCAGTGATGTGGAACATTTTTTCATATATTTACTTGCTGCTTTTACTTCCTTGTCTGAGAAACATCTGTTCATTTCAGATGCCCATTTTTGAATCGGGTCTTGATATTTGGGGGGCCTGATTTTTTTAGTTCTCGGTATATTCTACATAATAGTTAAAGAGGACAAATTGAGGCAGCAGGGAGGGCCAGGACCGGGTACCGGAGGAAGGGAGCCCTTTCCTGATTCACATAGAGACCCCTGGGTGGGCAGCACTGGCCTTGCCACCCACGTCTGACTGGCTCCCCACTGACTGGCTGTCCTTGGACGAGCATCAGATTTCCAGAAAGTCAAAGTCAACCTGTCCAAGAGCAAGCTTGGCTGTCCCCTCGCCTTTTCTGTTATGCCTGGTTCAGGACATCAACTCTGAATATCTGGGCGTCCCTTGAGTGCTGAGCTGAGCTCCCTGCTTCTAACCCAGAGGAGAGGATTCTGCCACTTGGGAGACACCTGGCAATGTCCCGAGGCTTTTGTTTTCATTATAACTGGAGCAGGGAGTGGCCCTCCCCGCTGCCCTGCAGAACAGAGGCCGGGATGCTGCTAAACGTCCTCAGCATAGAAGGCAGCCCCCACGGCCACACGAGGAGCACTGTGTGAGGACAGCCTGCGGCTCCTTTCTGATTCATCCCAGTCATTGCGCTGCAGAAATGAACCTCATGGAGCTACCTCGCTGCCCTGACTCAGACCCTACAGCCAGTCGCATGCTCCAGATCCTGAGTCCTGCTCACAAGGCTCAGAGTCGCCCTGCTTCATCCAGGGGATGGGGCAGCGACAGCTGCTGCAGCGGGTGACACACCGGGCACGGGGGATGCACTCCCTCCACTTCTGTGATGTTCAAAGCAGGTCGCCTCGTTCTAGGCCACCATTCTGCTACCCTCAGTCCCCCTCCTGCCCCGCCACCCCCATCTGCTGCACCCCTCACCCCTGCCTGCCTCCACCCCCTGGATTGGTTTCCTGAGGCTATGACAAATTAGCCCTGAACTAAGTGGCTTCAAGCATGCAGCTATTTCTGGAGGCTGAAGTCCAAGGTCGGCTTCCCTGGGATCAAGCCAAGGGCTGGGCTGCTGGGAGTCTAGAAGGGATCTACTTTCTTCCTCCGGTCAGCTTCTCGGGTTTTGTTTTTTTGGCTCGTGGCTCCTTCCTCTCTAAAGCCTGCAGCATCTCATCTTCAACTCCGTGTCTGCTGCATTCACTTCCCTCTGCTGCCTGGAGATAAATCTCCCACTGTCTCCTGGGTGATTTTACTTAAGGGCTCGGCTAATCCAGGATGATCTCTCATCTTCTCCGAATCCTACCAGGCACCTTTGCAAAATGACCCCTTTACTGTGTAAGGTGCGCTCCCAGGCTCCGGGAGTCAGGAGCTGCAGACTGGTGGGCTGCCCGCCCAGCCACCCAAATCCTCTGCCACTCTCTGCAGCCCGTGGCTGCCTTTGATCCCATCCTGAGAACCGTCCCTCTCTCCTCTGGGACCCCCACACACCCCCTTTCACTGTCGCCGACTTGCTGCCCAGAGTCCAGAGGGCGTTTAGAGCCACGTGCCAGGCCCTGCAGGACGTGGCCCCGCATCACACCCGCACCAGGCACAACTTACACACGTTGCACACTTGGAATGATAGTGTCCTGCTGATGGGTTTTTATTTTCCACCTCTAGGGGATTCCAGTGCAAGCAACGCTTATCAAAAAGCACAAGTCGAGTGTCAGCTCAGTGTCCCCCAGTGGGAGGGCAGGGCTGTCTTCATCCTTGTGTCCGCAGGCTTCCTTAAGATGTTAGAAAGCAAAGGGGTTATGGGATGGATCCTTACCTTCTTCCTACTTTTTTTTGTCAAGGCTTCTCTTTGTATCTCACGTGTCTTCTGGAACACTATAAAAGAATTATGAGCCAGACGCAAGAACTCCAGGTAATTCTTTTAAGTTCTTTTCTCAAAGATCATTTCAGCTCCTGCTTGGCATCTGTATACCGCTTTGCATTTGAAATCTGTTTGCTCCCTGGTCTTAGCCCACACCCTGAAGGGCTGAAATGATTTCTCCATCAGCACATGATGAGATTCAGCAAGGTGGCTGAGGTCACCCCAGGCAAGGGCAGAGACCAGGTGCTGCCCCTGTTTGGACTCCTGCGCTAACCACGCTGCTTGTTTGCCTTGGTCAAAAACCCAGAAGACAAAATACCAAAATTAGCTTTATGAAATGCAGTTGAAAGAGAGCAATGCCCATAGTCTAACCAGCAGAATTATCGAAAGGAAGGAAATATTCTACAGGCGGAGGATCCTTAGGGACTGTGCCGTATGGTAGTTGTTGGCATAATAATGCTGTATAAAAAGCAAGGGTTATTACTTCCTACTCCTCTGCCCAGGGTCAGCAGCCAGGTGGCTCTGCTGGCCTTGGTTGGGCTTGCTCATCACCTGGGTTGGCCTTCATTGATCTAGGTTGGCCTCTGGAGCAACTCAGCTCTGCTCCTGAAGTCTCTCATTCTCCAGCAAGGCAGCCTAGGCTTGTTCTCCTGGAGACAGCAAAGGGAGGAGAGAGAGCAGAACCAATCATGCAGGGCTTTTCAACTCACATCTTGTCTTATGTCTGTTAATATGCTTTTGGCCAAAGCAGGTCACATGGTGGAGCTGGGTGCCAGGAGAAGGCTCTGGGTTGGCACTGTAACTTACAAAAACAAAGACATGGATAAGAGGGAGGCTGGAGAAGGAGACCACCGTTCCAGTCAGCCTCAGAGACCTGAGCCCAGGGCTCAACAAACTTCTGCAAAGAGCTGACAGTAAATAGCTTTGGTTGCAGATCGTATGGTCTCAGTTCAACCTATTTACCCTGCTGTGGTCGAAGGAATGGCAGCCCAGATACCAGATAATTAAGTGGGAAGATGGATTTGGCTCTGTTCCAGTAGAACTTTATTTACCAAACAGGCGGTGGACCAGATCGGGCCTGTGGACTGCAGTTTGTCAACCCCTGCTCTGGCCCATTCTCCTCCTTTTACAGATATGGCCATCCGAGTCCCAAGAGGTCGGTGACTATTTGATTGTCACACAGCTAACTGGCAAAAGAATCAAGACCAAAGCTCAGGACTTCCGACTCTTGGCTCACTGGTTTTTTCTTGTTTGTCCAGCAAGTAGAGACTAGCGGTTCTAGCTACCGTTTACTGAGCACCTACTGGGTACAGAGCACTAAGATCTTTGCAATGTTCTCACGTTTCATCTGTATAATCCTTAAGATGCAGATACTGCGGTTGACCTCATTTTCTAAATGGAGAAGCATGTTAGATGTAACTAGAGCTGATACTCTGTCTCGATCCAGAGTCTGAAGTCTTAAAATTCTGCCACTTGTCTGCCAGTAGTTAGGCTAAGGATAGTTTGTGCTGTCAAGGAACTCTTATGAACACCTTTGTCCCCGAAGGGTAAATAATCTGCCAAGACTTGTGACAGGAAAGGGCTTCTTAGTCCTGTCCCAGTCAGGCTCAGCCTCGCCTCTACTCGCCTTAGGTCCAGATCAACAGTTCTCAGGAAGTGCAACAGGCCGTGCTGCAGGGGATGCTGAAGGAGCATCTGGTGGAGAAGGAGAAGCTGAGCAAGGAGAGGCTGGAGCTGGAGGAGAAGCTGAAAGCCAGAATCAAAGGGCTGGTGGAAGAGAGGGAGGTGAGGTGGTCACTGACTTCTCTCTACAGCCGCAAACTGGCGAGAGGCCCTTTCTGCGGGGCACGGAGGGTGTGTGCTTAGCTGAGGAAGAGTCTGAGCCACTCCCGGATTGGTGCTGTGGTTGATATTAGTTAAACAGCAAAATCAACTAGGAGAGTCCGGAGACTTGGAATTTGGGGAAAATGCTACTTTGTTTGTTTCTACGTTGCAGTTGATTATACAAATCCGACCTCTTACTGGCCGCTCCGAGTCTGTAAGGGACAGACTATTTCTCAGTGTTAGTCCCATTTCAGACTGTTTCAGTCTGGCTTTCTCTGGACAGGTACCCGAGAAAACATGTACAAAAACTGTAGTCGTTTTTCTAGAAACCAGGCCAATTAGAAGGCGCGGACAGCAGCCCTGCTCGAAGGCTAAGGTGCAGGCAGTCAGCCTGGGATCGGGAGAAACGCAGCGGGCGACTCCCGGCGGTGCAGCGGGGTAGGACTGTGGCTTCAGCAGAGTCTTCAGTAAGGTTCCCAAAGCACCCCGCACACACCCGGACCCATGGAGTCAGAACCCCCGCAGAAGGCCGGGAAACGGCATTTCCTAAGCCGTTCTCATCTCGGCCAAGGACTCGGCCCTTTCCGATACTCATTCCGCCTCTTAGGCTGCCGTCCCCTAGGTCAGTGGCTCGTGTTGGCCACACTTGTGTCGGTCAGGAGATTTTAAAAGTACTCAGCCTTGCCCGCCCCTGCTGCCCGGATTCCACCTGAACCGGGTGAAGGCGACTCCCTGTCCCGCGTCCCCGCGCTCTCCGGGCCTCTCCGGCCTCCGTCTCCCCCGTGTCCACCGTCCGCTTCACGTCCCGGCAACCTGAGGACATTTCGCTCCTGCCGTCCCTCTGCTCTCCTGAAGGGGAACCGAGCGGCCTCCCCGTGAAGATGCCGCCCGTCCTGAGAGCAGCCCTGCGAAGGGGAAGAGGGAGCTGAAGCCAGAAAGGCCCTGGAGACCTTCGGCATCGCCGCCCTCTGCTCAGACCTCTTCCTCCTTAGCGTCAACCCCCTTACTATCCTATTTTTAAATTCGGGGTTGATTTTTTTTCCATTGCTGGGATATGGAGCCGCACCGTGTGAAATACCCCTTCAGAGGCCAAATTATTGGTTTGTGGCCGGAAGTATTTTATGCGCTGGCTCCAAAGCCCCTTTGAACACGTAAACTTCGTTGTCCCGGCACCGGCAGAGGGAGGAAGAGGCGTCAGTCCCTCCTAGGTCACCCTTCGTCTTAGTCACTTCCCCGACACCGGGACCGAAGCGCCCAGCACCCACGGGGGAGGAGAGTGCGTTTCGGCTCCCAGTTTCAGAGGTTTCAGCCCGCGGTGGGCGGCTCAAACACAGAAGCAGCGTAACAGAAGGGCCCGCAGCTGAGGCGCGCTGCTCGCGTCGGGGCCGGGAGCAGAGGGAGAAGCGGGACCGAAGGGAGAAGCGGACCGAAGGGAGAAGCGGACCGAAGGGAGCTGCAGCCATGACCCCGCCCCGGCCAGGCCCCGCCTCCTCGCCCGAGTCAGCTCGACCCGTGACCCAGGTACCCTCCGGAGACCGCCTCTGAGCACGCGGTGGGCAGGGGCCGTGCTCGTTGACACCGGAACGCCCTGCTGGAGACGCGTGCTCAGCCTGGCGCCCTCTGAGAGGAGCTCTTAGACTTCAGTGCTGGGCGCCCTGCGTATTCAGTGAACAGTCCTTGTGCCCCGCCTCACCTGCTCTAATAGTCCCTGTCCAAGCTCGCTCATCAGCCTCCCTCTCGGGAATCTTGGCTGATGCCAGGACTTTGCTTCGATGGCAAGACAAACCTGGCGTTCCTTCTCTTATTCATCACTGTTAACAACGTTTGATTGATTTACCCCACCCTAATGCTTTACAGATCAGACACTGGCAATTGTTTTTTCCAGAAGAACAGGAGTATTTTCAATTTCGCCAGCCATACAGTCTCTGTCACGACTCCTCAACTCTGGCATGGTGCAAAAGCAGCCACAGACCACAAAGAACGAGGATTATTTCCATAAAACTTTATCTATAAAGCAAAAGTGGGCCGGAGTGGATCTGCTGGCCATCATTTGCTGACGCCCGTTTAGAATACAGGCGTAAGAGTCAGGTGGGCCAGGGTTCGATTCCGACTGTGTGGTCTCTTGGTCCGTGGGCAGATTTCCTCGTTTCGCTCAGCCCGTTTCCTCCTCTGCAGAGCTGGGATAGGTGGTGTCTGTGTGGAGCATCTGACCCGCTCTCCACTCCTCGGGTCAACTGATACTGTCCCCCTTGTACAGTCAGGGAAACTGAGGCTCCCATGCATAGATTCTCACTTACACAGGGCCGCATGGCAGGGACGGCTCCATCCGGGGCTCTGCTGCCCACGTCCTCCCATGGGTGTGCTGAGCATGCAGGCCAAGCCACTCAGCCTGGCAGCGTCCACATCTCCGCCATGGCAACCTGGGTCCTCAGCAACGGTCCTTGACTTGCAGGCTTTGGAGGACAACGTTGCCCAAGAGAGAAACAAAGCCAAGGACCAACAGAAGAGGGTCTGCGAGCTGGAGGAGCGGCTGGCCCAGCAGAAGGAGGTGCCCTCGGTGGTGGCTGGGGAGGGGATGCCGGCCTGGACCCCTGCTCTAACCTGGGGCTGCTCCTCCAGAGCCTGCGCCCTGTGCGCCCTGGGCTCCTCTGTCCACAGCCTCCCTGGGGTGAGCCCAGGACCACGGCCGAACCACGCACAGCCTGCACAGCCCAGGTTCCTGCCACGGTAACCAGGACACTTACAACTTCCCCTGACTTGCAGGCTTTGGAAGACAACATTGCTCAGGAGAAAGGCAGAGCTAGGGAGGCCTTAGAGGAGGCGCAGAGGAGGGTCCGAGAGCTGGAGAACTGCCTGGCCCGCCAGAAGGAGGTAACCGGGCTCGGGAGGGGTTGCTTGAGGACCATGTGGACATGTGGAAGTCAGTTCCTTTTTGGTGACTGAACCCAAGGTCTTCACATTGAACTACGTTCCCCAGCCCTTTATTTTTTACTCAGAGACAGGGTCTCACCAAGTTGCCCAGGCTGGGCTCAAACTTGCAATCCTCCTGCCTCAGGCTCCCAGACAGCTGGAATTAGAGACGCTGGCCACCGCGCCTGGCTGGACATCTTTTCCAAAGCTTAGGCCTGGGCCGAGTGTGGTAACTCCTTCCCGGGACAGTTCAGGTTCTGCAGTGACGTGGACAGAGGAGGCAGGCCAGTCTCTCTTCCCAGCAGGACGCCTCCCTGTGGCCCGGCCAGCAGCTGTCACTGGGAGGTGCCTGACAGTCTCTCCCACGGGGCACGGGGGAGGCCACACCCTGAAGCCCACCACCCCCTGCAGAGCACAGGGACTTCTCACGCTGCTGCTGTCACTGCTGCTCTGCTCTGTTTGGGGCCAGGGCTGGGAGGCAAGAGCAGCAGAGCTCTTAAAACCACTTCTCACTGCAAAATGCTCGAGATCTCAGCCTTGTTGTGGATGAAATGCTTTCAGTGGGCTAACGTGGGGCCCTTGGCCTGGATGATAAGGGAAATCAGGATCCAAGTTCCAAATACCTGGCGTTCAAGCTGATGTTTGAAAGGCACCCATTTGAATGCCCCTTCTGGGGATGGCTCAAAAGGGGCGGGGCAGCAATGGCTGTCAGCAGGTAGCTCCCGACCACAAGGCTTGGGTGGGGACCCGCATGAAGCCGCCTTCTCTCTACCGCCCGGCACCCTCGGGGCGCTTCCACTCCGCCTCTCGGAAATGATTCTCCCCGGAATATTTGTTTCTATGATGGGGAATTCCATTATTGATGAGACTTCCAGCACAGAGGTCTGCTCCAGTGATAGGAAGCCCAGCACTGCCAGTCCCTGCCCCGGGCCTCTGTGAGCGGCTCTGGGATTGGGATGCAAACCCCGGGCCCTCGCCGGCCCCTGGCCCTTGGTTTTCTCACCTATGGGACGGGACCACTAGCGGCACTCCCCAAGGTCCCAGGGGGAGGCGAGTGTGGCAGGGCCACCTGATGTTGTGGCTGCCGGCGCAGTGAGCTGCACCAGCGTTGGCAGCTCTGCCTCCGGGGAGAGACACCAAGGGACACTTGCTGGCTTTCAGGTCTGGGAGAGCGCCACGGCCCACGAGAGGAGGAAAGCCAAGGAAGCACTAGAGGCAGAAAGGAGGCGAGCGCAGGATCTGGAGAACCGCCTGGCCCAGCAGAAGGAGGTACGGGCAGCCAGACCCCAGGTAGGAGCCAAGAGCGAGGGGGCAGATGACCCGAGCCGGGACCAAGCCTGCCAGCTGTCAGTGTCCTTGTCTGTGAGATGCGACTGCACAGCCCCAGGCCTCCGGTTAAATGTCACTACACGTCAGGCGCTCAGATGAGCTCCTCTGGAGGCTGGAGAGACCGCCGCTGTCCTCCTGCAAAGCCACAGGGACGGGGTCTGCTGCGACAGGAAGTGCATCCCCGTGTTTTCCCTCTTACCCCAACCTCTCCAGTGAGGGCCGGGCCTGGTGCCAACTAAACACGCCGGTTTAGTCGGTGGCTCAGTGCCCAGTAACGTGACCTGTGCCTCATCGGTAGGTTATTTTTAACACTGAACAGCGAGTCACTCTCCTGTAGGCCCAGGACCAACCCGGATCTGGCGCCCTGGCTGCCCCCAGCTGTGCCCGGCTCTGGCCTCTCTCCCCCAGGTTCCCTGTCCAGTTACCCCGTCCCTCTGGTTGCCTGGACCACTCGCCCCGGCGGGCCTTGCGGTGTCTCCCCTCCTCTGCGGACACCGAGCCCCTGCCCCTGACTTGCAGATCTCCGAGAACAGGGTCACCTGCGAGCAGCACAAGGCGAAAGAGGCCTTAGACAAGGAGCGGCGGCGGGCACAAGAGCTGGAGAACCACCTGTCCAAGCAGAGAGAGGTATGAGTCGCGGAGCGGGAAGGACGAGAGTGGACCAACCCGGATCTGGCGCCCTGGCTGCCCCCAGCTGTGCCCGGCTCTGGCCTCTCTCCCCCGGGTTCCCTGTCCAGTGACCCCGTCCCGCTGGTTGCCTGGACCACTCGCCCCGGCGGGCCTTGCGGTTTCTCCCCTCCTCTGCGGACACCGAGCCCCTGCCCATGACTTGCAGATCTCCGAGAACAGGGTCACCTGCGAGCAGCACAAGGCGAAAGAGGCCTTAGACAAGGAGCGGCGGCGGGCACAAGAGCTGGAGAACCACCTGTCCAAACAGAGAGAGGTATGAGTCGCGGAGCGGGAAGGACGAGACACCAGCACGGGCCCTGCAGCCAGGAAGCTGGGGTTCAAGTCCTCCCTCTGCCTTGGGGTCCACGCACACACAATGCAGGTGAGCACGCGTGTCCACCGGTATGCACACGGGACACGGAGAGAGCGCGTGCAGTGAGCGGAGCACCGTCAGTCACTGCTCAGGGTTATCAGGAGCTCAAGGCACGGAAGCCGAGGGCCAAGACCCAGACCTCTGTCCTGGGATTCTTAACCTTCAGCTCCCTCCTGGGCTTTGGCTTCATGTGGGTAGGAGGCCACGGGGCCAGCTGGGGCCAAGGAGATGTCAGGGCGCGGACACCGGGACTTCTGGTCGCTTCCGGGCCATTTCCCGTCAGGACTCGCCCGGTGATGGTCATCACCTTCCAACCTGAGGTGCAGCCACCAGGAACAACGGGCAGGCGCAGGGGATGTGGCGCAGAGGAGGCGCTGGGCCGGGACCCACCAGCAGTAGGCATCACTCACTCCTCCTGGGTCCCAGTTGTGCAAAAGACACACACATGTATGCACATGCACACGTGCACGCCCATGACTCACATCGCAGAGTCAAACCAGTTGGCAAAAGCCGGACGTGGTGGTACACACCTGTGACCCCAGCACTCAGGAGGCTGAGGCAGGAGGATCGCTGTGAGTTCGAGACCAGCCTGGGCTCCACAGTGAGTGCCAGATCAGTGTCGACTACACAGTGAGACCCTGTCTCAAATCCCAAAAAACCAAACCAGTTAGCAAACACACAACCTGGAAATCATGGGTTAAAATGAAATGGAGAAAACATGATTTGAAAGGATTTTCCAGGCCAACTGGGAAGGAAAAGGATCCCTAAGTCTCTTGACCCCTGTCTTGGAACATTTTCTTCAAAGACAGATCCCACAGGTTAGCACCTCTGGGGAACTGAATTTAAATGCCCTGCTGGCCTCACCCAGAGCCAGGACTCAGGAATCTGCCTGTTTAATGAACTGTCCAGGAGGGCCAGGGGCTTTGCTCAGCGCCAGCCCGGGAGGTGTGTGTCAGCAGGCATGCTCACGTGCAGTGCTGTCAGCAGGGCGTGACTCACTGCGCGTGTCAGGGAAGCCAGCGAGTGCTCAGCTCAGTCGTGCCAGACCTGGGCTCAGAGCTGGCTGAATATATTCCCCAAATTCTCTCTTTCCCGGTGATGAACTGCAGTTTCCAAAGAATGGATCAGTGAAGGGTAGGAGAAAAGGAGAAATTGTAAAATTTAAAATAGGCAAACTGGAAAATAAATCAGGTCAGGAATGAGACTAATGCAAAAACAGTGTGTTGTGAGATCAAGGAATGAGTCCGACTTTAGTCGAGCAGCTGTAGGGCGATCAAGGCAAAGCCCTGTGGGTTGTGAAACTCACAGACAGAAGTGCTCACGGCCATGTGACCAGACAGAGCTGTGCTAGGGTTCACCAGAGAGAAGAGCCTGGAATGCACAAAGTGACACCCTCGTGCCCTCCTAAGAACAACAGGACTATCAGAGGGCAGCCTGTGACAACCTCAGAGCAAGCCAGTGACATCAAGCCCGACCAGGGGGAACAGGACTCCTCCCTAGGGACCTACCCGGAAAGACCAAGGAAATACAAGATCAAAGGAGCCTTAGAGGAAAAACTGCATGACTGCAGTCAGGACAGTGATTTTTTAAATTTGACCCTAAAAAGGCAGCAAAAGCAAAAATAGACCAATGAGTTTTCATCAAAATTAAAAGGTTCAACAAAAGAAACAATGAGCCGGGGATTTACCTCAGTGGTTTTGCCACCTGCCTTGTGAGCGCAAGGTCCCAGGTTTGATCCCTGGTACCAAAAAAAAAAAGAAAGAAAAAGAAAAGAAAAAAGAAACAATGAATAGAATAAAGAAACAACCAACCATGGATTGGGAGAGAAACATGTGCAAGCCATATCTGATAAGTGGTTAATATCCAAAACATATAAGGAATTCAATCCACAGGGAAAAAAAAATAATAATCTCATCAGAAAATGGATGGGGGAAGCCACACCCATTAATCCCAGAACTCGGTGGGGGGCTGAGGCAGGAGGATCGCTGTGAGTTCAGGGCCAGCCTGGGCTACTTAGTGAGACCCTGTCTCAAAAAAGAAAAAAAAAGAAGAAAGAAGATGGATGGGTACCTGAATACATATTTTTCAAAAGAGGAGGAACAAATGATTGACATCACCCGTCATTAGGGAAATGCAAATTCACTGTGAGCTCTGACCCTACACTTGTCGGAATGGCTATTGTCAGAGAGAGAATTCAAGTTGACAAGGACATGGTGAAAAGGGACCTTTGCATACTATTGGTGAGAACGTAAATTAGTACAACTGCTGTGGAAAACTATACGGAGCTTCCTGAGAAAACTAAAAATACTGTATGGCTAGATCACCCAGCAATTCCACTTCTGAGAATTTCCTGCAACGATTTTAAATGAGTTTGTCAAAGAGATGTCTGCACCCCCGGATTCACTGTAGCACTGTCCACAATGCCCAGGGTACGAAATCGGCCTTAGTGTCCATCAGCAGCTGCACGGACAAAGAAGATGTGGTATATCTACAAAGTGGAACACTACTCGGCCCTAAAAAGAAACAAATTCTGCCATTTGTGTTACGTGGATGGAATTGGAGAACATGACACTAAGTGAAAGAAGCCAGGCACAGAAAAACGAGGGACTGAGTGCTGTCGCTTTACGTGGGATCTAAAACAATCGAGTTCACAGAAAAGGAGACTGAATCCTGGTTACAGAGGCTGGCTGGGGTTGAGTGGGTAGGGAGGTGATGGTCAAAGGGTATAAAACCTCTCCAGGGATTTAGCTCAGTGGTTCCACTGCCTGCCTTACAAGTGCAAGGGCCCGAGTTCGATCCCCAGTACCAAAAAACAACATCAACAACAAAAAAACCCAAAGGTATAAAACCTCATAGAGGAAGGAATTAGATTTGGGTTTATCTTAGGTCTACACAGAGTGTGGTAAATATAACAAACTCTCATGTGTTGCACATTTCAAAATAACTAAAAATATATTTCAAGTGTTCCCACAACAAAAAGTAAGCTCTCAAGGCAACAGATATGTTAATTAGCCTGATTTAATTGTTCTGCATTGTATTCATAAGTCAGAGCATTAGTTTTCACTCCCCAAATATATATAATTATAATCTGTTAATTTGCAGTAAAAATGTCTCCAATTAAAAGAATATTTAAATTAGAAATAAAATAAAGATAATTTGAATTTTCTGAAATTTGAGTGAGCCTCCAACAAAACCCTGAGAATTATTTAAGATGAGATGCTGAGTATGTTACTTATGTTACTGAACATATTTGAAAAGTCTTTCCTACCCTCCAAAAACTTTACCAAAACTTTATGTATAAAATAATGCAATATATAGAGATCAAAAGTAGTTTCATTTTGAAACATGTTCTTTTATTCCATTCCCATATTTGTGAGCATCTTTATTTGAAGTATATTTTGATATTTGAAGTAAGCTGGGGCTGGGGGATTTAGCTCAGTGGTTGCACTGCCTGCCTTGCAAGCGCAAGGACCCCATTCGACCCCCGGGATCAAAAATAAATAAATAAATAAAAATTTTTTTAGAAAATAAGAAAACTCAGGGCCAGGGATTTAGCTCAGTGGTTCTGCCACCTGCCTCACAAGCTCAAAGACCTGAGTTCGATCCCTGGTACCAAAAAAAAAAAAAATAAGAAAAGAAAAAGAAAATAAGAAAAATCATAGGATACAGGTTAGTATGAAACTCTAAATACCATCATTAAAGTTCTGATTTTAATCTGCATTTAGGGTGTGCACTCTAGACCCTCCTGGTTAAATTTATACAGTAAAGGCATTTAACAAATTTGAAATTGCCAACGTACGACCAAACCACTCACACGCAGAGTGGCACTTTTGTGTGCCATGGAAAGGTGGATTTCATCTACAGAGGCAAAATAGGAAAAACAGTGGAGGCGGAAAAGGGACTCCAGACCCACGGTGGGACGGGGAGCCCTGGTGTCCCCCAGGGAAGCCGGGGAGGAGCCCGGTGCCCGCAGCAAGTCCTGCCCCCGGCAGGTCAACCTCCCGGCCCCCGGGCATCGGAGCAGCAGGGACGGGGCAGCGCCTCCCGAGGTGGGGACGCCCTGGGCTTGTGGGCAGTGCGAGCGATGCGGAGATCTCCGAAAGCGGCCCTGGAAGGAGGCAGGGACCCGCGGAGGGGCCAGGAACAGCGGGGCAAAAGTGGTATTTGTACTTTGTTTTCAAGAACGTATCGGCTTCTTTTCCTGAGAACAAGATGAGCCCCGGCATTCTGGAACGTTCGAAAAGTACAGAAAACGTAACAGCCAGGGCTCCACAGAGCAGCGCGGCCCGCGGTGACGCTCTGGTGCCTGCTCTGGGAGAGCGCCTCTGTGCGTGGTTTGTTAGCGAGAGTGGTCTCGGCTTAGAGGCTGAGTCCGGGATACCTTTTTCAGATGTCTCTGGGTCTCGGACATCAGTCGTCCTCAGACCCCTGCCCCTGACCGATGGCCTGGATCTTTGCCACGTTGTCATGTGGACCCCAATTTTTTCTTCCCTCCCCGTGGCCTGACCCTGTGGCTGTTCTCACTTTCCTTGGGTATAAAAGATGCTCGGGCTTCGGGCTGTGCATCGTAAGATAGGCTCCCAAACGTGGCACCGCCGAGTCCCAGGATGTGAACATTTTCAGACTCGAGACACGTACGGGACCATCCTGGCCGTCACACCTATTCACGCTGCCATCGCTAGCCCGAGATTGCCTGGTCCTGTGTCGGAAACTGCATTAGATGATGTCCTGGGGCTCACGCTCCGCGTTGAAGGGCAAATCACGGAGGAGAGGAGGATTTTGACAACCAGAGATGGGACGAGGGGGGTCCAGGAAGAGGGACAGCAGGAGCCGATATCATGACAAGTGGCACCCAACTAGCCGAGCCCTGCAGGGAGCAGAATGTCCTCAGGCCACTTGGTGAAGGGCGAAGGAGGTCGTGCCTTTATCCTGGAGAGTAGCTTCAGAGAGCATCATGAGGGTTCCCCTCCATAAAAGAGAAATAAAACATGTTCAGTGAGCCCTGGGTTACAGAACTGAGCTCAGGAACCAGAAATCACACAGAGACCGCAAGACTGAATTAACAAGAGTTCTCCGCTCATCGAACCTTCCAGACATCCTGAGGCGGAATGGAAGAAATGCAGTTCCCTCCTCCCTGAAGGCACGGGCAGGGATACATATTTAATCCTGGTGTTAATTTGTTTGTTGTCTGTCCAGGAGATCGAATTAAAAGGACGGAGAGAGGATGATTTAAATGATAAATTAAAAGACGCACTGACCCAGGTGGAGGAGACTCAGCGCATGAGGATGGTGGAAAGTCAGAAAGCAGAGAACCTCACCCTGAAATTAAATGAAACGTTAGACGAGCTGGAGACTACCAAGACAAAAATGGTAAGTCAGAGCCGGGCATGGTGGCACATACCTGTAATGCCAGCACTCGGGAGGCTGAGGCAGGAGGATCGCTGTGAGTTTGAGACCAGCCTGGGCTACATAGTGAGTTCTAGGTCAGTCTCAACTACATAGTGAGACCCTGTCTCAAAAAACCAGAAAACTGGGCCAGGGATTTAGCTCAGTGGTTCTGGCACCTGCTTCACAAGTGCAAGGACCCGAGTTCGATCCCAGGTACCAGAAAAAAAAAATGGTAAGTCAGCACCACCCGGGACAGAGGGTTCTCTGTGTCCCAAGATCACACAGCATGGGCCAGGCCAGCTCGACGGCAGCCTCCTGAGCAGGGAGACTCTTCCTGTGCACTGCAGAGTGGTGGGCAGCTTCCCTGGTCCATACCTGCCAGGTGCCAGTGGTCCTGCCCCGGGAGAGATGACTGGAAAGGTTCTCGGGCTCTGCCAAAAGTCCCCCAGAGGCAGAGTCACCCTGCTGAGAGGCACTGGCTTAGCATGAGAGGTCTCGGTTCATGCTGCCTCTTTCTGAGCCATTCTGTCGGGCCTTGAAGGCACTCGGGCTGAGAAGCCCTGGGATTTGGTGACCAGTGACTGACTTCTCCACATCGGAAGGGGCTGATTGTCCACTTGAGGGTCACTGGGAATCTTTGTTTCTTAAGAAATACAAATCCATTTGCTTTTTCCTTCTAAATTGTTCATTCATTCATCCATACTACTGATCAAGCATCTCAGTCTTAAGGCTGTGCACATAGCAGTAAACGAGAGGCATGTTCCTGCCACCATGGAGCTGACATTCTACTGTAGGTGAAATATGGAGAAACAAAGTCATTGCTAATAGTGACAAAGGACTCAAGGACAGGAAAGCAGAGAAAACAGAAAGTGTCTCAGACTGCTCTGTAGACAGGTGGGAGGGTCTCCTTAAGAAAAGGATGTTGGAGCTGAGACCTGAAAGCTGGGAAGGACTCAGCCAGGCAAGGGGCTAGGGAAGAAGTGTGCCAGGCCAAGGAGCAATGTGTGCAAAGGCCCTGAGGCAGGTCCCAGTTTAGCACCTTCAGTTACTGGTATTGTCCTGTCAGCTCCCCAGATCGCCTAAGCATGGCTGTGTTTTCCCAGATCCTGATGGAAGAGACGATAACACTGCAACAGCAAGCAGTGAAGTCACTCCAGGACGAGCGGGAGTCACAGAAGCACGGATTCGAAGAGGAAATCGTGCAATATAAGGAGCAAATCAAGCAGCACTCCCAGACGATCGTGAGTCTGGAGGAAAGGCTCCAGAAAGTGACCCAGCGCCACAGGAAAATAGAAGGAGAGATCGCGACTCTGAAGGACAGCGACCCAGGTAGGCTCTGACGGTCCGCAGGATGCCCCAGGCCGGCTAATGAGAGAACTGCTTCTCGGGAGCCTCTTTGCTTCCCATACACACGGTGTTAGAGGCCTTGGAGCCCCAGGCTGAGCAGAAGTAATGACAGTGACTTCATACTTCTTTTGTGGGGCCCCATGAGACAGGCAGGCAGGCAGCTGCCTTTCCCAGTGGAAGCAGCCAGGCAAGAGCTTTTCAAGGGCCGTCGGTGCCACTGGCCATTTGCACTTCAGTGAGCAGCCACTGACAATGTGAGCCCAACATAGGCCAAAGGAAAAGAACTCAGACACGTGGTCACTGATGTCCCCTGGAGGACCGAGGTCCTGCGTGGCAGACGCCCTGGGGAAGACCTGTGCAGGGCCCGGCCCAGTTCTCGGCCAAGCCACTGTTGACATGGGGACTGGTTGAGTCTCTCTGGGGGACCAGGGCCCATCCCAAGCATCCTTGGGTGCCCAGCGGCAGCAGCCCTGGTCTCCACTCACTGGGTCCCGTGATTGTGTCCTCAGACCAAAACTGTCCCCACGTTGCTGTGTCCCCAGGAGGCAGAGGCCCCCGCTGGGGAAGCCTCGTCCTGGTCCTGGCTCTGGCGGTGGCCTCAGTGTCTGCTGTGCCCCAGTCTGGCATGGGTATTGGGCACCTGGTGACGGGCATGGTGGTTACCGTCCTTGCGGGTGACCTGGGATGGCAGGGGCCCCTGGCGAGGACCCAGAGCAGGGCTTGGTTTCCTAAGCCACAGTCCAGTCAGAGGGAGGACGTTCGAGCTGGGACCTGGAGTCACCCGGGCCTCTGTCACCTCGCACGGATCGGTGTCTGCTGTGCAGCGGGCATCGCACGCATATTTGTTGAATGAATAAAAAAACTGAGACAGGAGCAAACCAGAGGCAGTGGGCTGAGGAGTGAGTGGGGCCCGAGGACAGGAAGGTGCCGCCCTTGGGTTCTTCTGAGACTCTTCTGGGCAGAAAGGAGAACGGACAGGCGGTGTGGGCAGCGCCAAGGGCGGCGGGGCACGCTCCACCACCTCTGCCTGACTTAGTCCGTCCTGTGTCGCTGCCAACCCAGTCCACCGCAGGGAAGGCAGACAGAGAAGAGGGTCCCAGGCCCGGTGGAGAGGCCGCGTCTAGTGGCCCCCTCACAGGACGAGTGATGAGTGTGCGTGTGTGCGAGCACGAGTCTCTGCCCGTTTGTAAAACCACCAGTGCCCATCGTGCGGGCTGTGCCCTGATGCCCTCGCTCAGCCCCAACCGCTTGCCGTGGCCCGGCCTCTGAGCAGCACAGTGGGATGCGTCTGCATCCCTCGATAGCGCTCGGTGGGGTCAGACAGCGCCACAGGCTTTCGGAGGACACAAGCCAAGCTGGAGCTGGAGCAGGCGCCTCCTACCTGAGAGCCGTGGCCCGGCTCGTGGAGCAGCAGGCGGGTCATGGGAGCGGGGGCCCACAGGCCACAGGGGCAGCTTCTGGGTTGTGCGACTCAGGCGTGCTTCACAGTGGCCGGGCTGGGGTGTGGCCGCTGCGTGAGGACCGTGATGACGGCCACGTGTCCCTCTGGTTCAGCTCAGAAGGAAGAACAGCCAGCAAGGCCCCCAGCGGTCCCGCCCTCGGACGGCAGTGCCAAGGAGACAGCCTGCAACCACTTGATGTGAGTGCGCTCAAGGGTGGGTGTCAGGGGTCCCCACTGGAGCCCGGGGGGATGACAACAAGCCAGCAAAACCCACATGTCAGAACCTGAGAAAAGGAGTTGGGTCTTGAGTGTCCACGATGTCCTTTAACTTCTCATGTCCCTTAACAAAGCAGGGAGGCGTGGACAAGTCCCCATGCAACACCTGTCAGCCGTGTGACCTGGACAGGTCAAGTCGCCTCTCTGAGCCTTGACTCCTCCTTTGCCAAATAAAGGTGTAAAAGAAGTGATCAAAAAATACAGAGAGCCGGGCGTGGTGGCGCACACCTGTAATCCCAGCACTCCGGAGGCTGAGGCAGGAGGATCACTATGAGTTTGAGACCACCCTGGGCTACATAGTGAGTTCCAGGTCAGTCTCAACTACACAATAAGATCCTGTCTCAAAAAACCAAAACAAACAAACAAACAAACAAACAAAAAATACAGAGAGTTTTAGGGCTGGGGATGTAGCTCAGTGGCACCACACCTGCCTCACAAACACAAGGTCCTGAGTTAGATCCCAGGTACAAAAAAAGAAAAAAAAAAAAAACAATAAAAACAGAATATTTTAAATGTATAGTTAACCCCCTTCAATGTCTTCCCCTCTCTCTGAACGCTCTTACCCCTCTGTTCTTGCCACTTTCTGATCAACTCTGGAATCCTCTTTTGTGAGCGTCTTTACTGGTCATGGCTGCCTCAAGGCCCTGGATTGATCTGAAACGCTTACCTTTCATGGTCATTATGACTTTGAGGAAGAGCCAGAAGTCACCTGGTGCCCGACCCAGTGTCTATAACTTCAGCCTGGAGAACTGACAGTGCTCAGAGACACAAAACCGTGGATGGGAAAGATCCTGACAGCTCTGCAAGGCAGCCCGTGCGCAAGGAGGCCCTAGGATGAGGCAGGGACCGTGTTCGGAATTTTCCTCTAGGACCACAAACCACCGTCCCGGCCCGTGCACCAGATCCACTAGCAAAGTCCGCAGTCACAGGACTCCCTCCCCAAGCGGGCAGACACCTCGGCTCCACATCTGGACTCCCAGTGCCTCTCGTCAGTACCAGGACAGGAACTGACGGCCGCTTGGTGCTCTGTGGTCCCCGGACTGGTGCAGGGTCAAAGCTGAGTCCTGAACTCCCTTCTCCGGTTGGGAGAGTTAAAAGACAGACAGACACAGCACACGGGCACCCACGCATGCTCCCACCCACACTCGAGGTGGTTCATGTAGCTGTTTCATTCCAGTGATTACCGATACTTTTTTTTTACATGCAACCTGCCGAGGTTTTGCATTATTTCATCATAAACACACACTGTGCCTTCAAAAGCCCCTATGAGAAGACCCCGGCTTTCCTCAGCCTGTAAACTCACTGAACTGGACCTGAGACCCTGCCCAGAGACGACACCTATCAGCCCGGTCTGAGCGGGCCGTACCACAGCTCCTCCTCCTCCCGCAGAACCAATGTGAACGTAAAAATTAAGCCATGTTTCCCGGGGCTCCGTCCCTCACCCTTCCTCTGCGTGAATCGCATCTGCCCAGCCCCCATCCGCCATTACTGTGAGGCTCAGTCACCCTCCTCCCCGCTCAGTGTCCTGAGCCCGAGGTGCTGACGGCGTCCCCGACCTCCGGAGCCTAGGGAAGGGGGAGGGGCCGACGTCCTCTCGCTCTCTCCCGTCCCTGTCCTCTGGGAATTCCTGGACAGGGCCCCTCACAGTCTTCTGTCCTCCCCCGCCAGACCCAAAAGCCCACGGCTGCCACTCCCCCATGGTCCTAATGCATCTCACACCAGGCGCCCATCCAGCCTCAGGCCCCATCCTGCCAGATCCTTTGTTCTACTCTAAATGGGCTTTTTGTTTGGTGCTTGCTGTGCTGGGGCTGGAACCCGTCCTTGTTCGTGACACTGAGCTATGTCCCCAGCGCTCAGGGTGTTTTTGAATGAAGGTACAGCACAACGAATTTTATTTTACTATCAAAGGCGGCCCTGTCCCCTGGCTGGGGCTGGGGTCCCACAGACGGTGACTGCTCATCACCCTCCCGGCCCTTGGGAGACACCGCAGAGACTGGGATCAGGTTGAGTGGGTCCCACAGGGCCTGTGCTTGTGCGTTTCAGAGACGACCTCCTGGCTGCGCAGAAGGAGATCCTGTCTCAGCAGGAGATCATCATGAGGTTAAGGCGGGACCTGAACGAGGCCCATGGCCGAATGACAGACTTGAGAGGTCGGTCCCTCCGTCCCTGCCGTCCGGACCATGGGAGGAAGGCAGGGCAGCAGCCGCACAGCCAGTGCCCGGTGTCCCGCTGTCCAGTGCCCCTGCGCTACACACAGGCGTGGACCTGGCTCCCGCCCACCAGGCCCAGGGTCCCCGACCACAGCCTGCAGAGGACCCTGGGCCGCTGCTCTGCAATGCGACTTTGGGGGCGGAGTTTCTTTCACTGCAGAGGCTTCACTTCCCTCGGAAGGAAGGCCGCGAGCCTCCTGTGCCGTTTGTTCTGTTCAGCGCACACACACACTGCCAAGGACATTTCCGGTTGAATTTTTAGAGTGCTTTTCCCATGGAAAGTTAGGAGAAAGTGTAGTGCAGCATACAGTGTCTGGTTCTAGATTCGGGCGAAACCAGGGCCCATGGCAGTCCTCGTTGGCTGCGTTTCCCCCGGCCCGCGCCTCTGCTCCTGTGAAGCGGGGTGTTCACTCACTCGTGAGTGTGCCGCCTCGAGGTCGCAAGGATCCCACTGTGGGATGGCTCAGGAGCAGAACTCCACCTCGGGGGGCGTGTGGTCCAGCTGCGGCCCCGGGACAAGCCAGAAGTGGGGTAGGCGGCTCGTCGGGAGGGAAGAAGGTGCATCTGGGGTGCTATCGATCCAGGGGCACCGTGGGGAGGAGCCTGACACGGCGGGCAGCCTCGGGAGCAGCAGCGAGCACACACCTGCAGCTGCTTGGGTGAGGGCCTAGGGGCCGGGGCAAGGACTTGGCTGCTCCCGCCGTGGGGGTGCAGCTGGCACACACAAAACACCGGAGGCTCGGGGGACCTGAGAAAGATGGGGCGCAGACCAGAGTGCCTCGGCCCCGCGGCATCCTGGGGTGAGATGGGCGCGGGCGTAAGGCCGGGTGCTGTGCCGTCGCTGCACAGGTGCACACAGAGCGCCCAGCCAGCACTGAAGGCCCGGGGTCCCAGGGACAGCCCCCCTCGGGGCCTCTGTGCACCTCGTGATCGCCTGTGACCCCGGCAGGCAGCGGGGCCGGGAAGCCCTCACTGGCTCCCCTGTGGCCCCCAGGGGAGCTGAGCGAGAAGCAGAAGATGGAGCTGGAGCGGCAGGCGGCCCTGGTCCAGCAGCAGAGCGGTGAGCTGAGCGCCCTCGAGGCCAAGATGGCACAGATGAGCAGCCGCGTGGAGAAGAAGGACAGGGAGCTGGAGGCCCTCAAGGAGGCCCTCAGGTGGGGTCCCGGCGTGGGCGGGGAGGGCTCAGTGAAGGCCGCCTGCGGTGAGCAAGTGGACGCCTTGTCGCTTCCTGGCCGCCTCAGGCCCGAGCTCCCCGCGGTGCTGTTTCTCCGAGGAGCAGGGTGGCCGGTCTCGGCTCCGGGAACCCGTCCTCCCCACACAGCCCAGGGCACACGGAGGGCTCTGGGGCCTCTGCACCTGACCTGCCGTACTGGGCCCAAGAAGGGACTTGGTGTTCACGAACAAATGATTAAGTCAGGTTCAAATAAATACAAAATACTGTCACAGTCCCATAGATGGATCTTATTTTTAACAAATGGGCCTGCGCTTTTGTCCATATTTAACATGAGTAGTGTCTTCCCCAAAGAAGTTTGAGCGAAGCTGGTGTTTTGTGTGTCTCCCCTGACATCCTGCCCTTCATGGCTCCTGGCCAGGGCAGGGGGCACACAGGTAAAGGAACAGGGGCCCCATCCAGGCCACCAGCTTTCACAGCCAGTGGCCTCCTCAGGAAGAATCCCTGTGGGCCCTGTACTTTGTCTAGTTCGGAGGATGACTCAGGATCAGTGTCCCTGTCAGCACCACAGCGGGCACCCACCGCCTGCCCTAACTACTCCGTAAATCCCCTGACACCAGAGTCCCCAGAAATCTGGAGGCAGGAAACCTGGGGTCTCAAGGAGCTCACTTCCTGGTCTGCCAAGGATACGGGAGGACTTGAACCTCGTGCCCGGCTGCTGCTCGGTGATGCGCCCTGTCTGCCCTAGGACTTCCCAGGAGGAATGCAAGCCCCACGCAAGCCCTGAGAAGGAGCGGGAGCCGAGGACCCCGACCCAGAAGTGTGACATTTCGGTGCAGATAGACCCGGTCTGCCTGGATGTTTCCTCAAGCAGCCAAGAGGTGAGTGCCCTCCGGACCCTGGGCTCCTGAAGGGCCTGATACCGAGGAGCCCAGTGGTGGCTTTCTTTTCTTTCAAAGGTATTTTCCTTCTAAGTTCCAAGCATTGCTTGCCTGTGTGAGACGGATAAAGCAAAACACAAGCTCCTGCCTCCCTGGTTGCAGCCTCCAGAGGTTAAGCTTTCAACAGCTGGGTGCAGGTGCCTTGGGCTCTTTGCTCCCAGAGGCTGCCTTACCCCCCACACAGTGGCTGTGGATCAGGCTCCAGTGGTCTCCCAGGGTTCGAATCCCAGCTCCTCCACTTAGCAGCTCGGTGACCTTGCAAGGTCACTCTGTGCCAGTTCGCCTGCCTGAGGGCGGTGACCGTCCTCACCTTGTGGGTGGTAGAGAAGTAGATTTTATGTATATGCATGTACGAACAGACGCACGTGTACCTGCATGCACTGATTTAGTAACTAATTTTAGTATCAAACCACACATATTCTACAACTTGTTTATTTTCATATAATAGTGTGATCACCTCATTCTTTTTAATATTTTTATTAGTGCCTATTAATTTTATAAAACATTGTGTTTCCATGTGTGGTTTTTTTGTTTGTTTGTGTTTTGTTTTTGAGACAGGGTCTCACTATGTAGTTGAGACTGACCTGGAACTCACTGTGTAGCCCAGGCTGCTCTCAAACTCACAGCGATCCTCCTGCCTCAGCCTCCTGAGTGCTGGGATTACAGGCGTGCGCCACCACACCCGGCTCTTGAGTTGACTTTTGTACAGGGTGAGGAAGGTCTAATTGCAGGCTCTGCCCACGGAGATCCAGTTTTTTGTTTTTGTTTTTTTCCCGTTGAGTTTATTGGTCCATTTTAGGTACACAGTACAGTTACACTCATCGTTGAGGTCTTGGACCTTTGCGTGCCGGGTCTTGGTTCTCATTCTTTCCCCATCCCCTGCCACCCCTCACCCCCTCCACCCTCCCCGATTTACAAAGACTTTGTTTCCATTTTTTCCTTTTCTCGTATTTTTCTTTTCCCTTCTTGCCTTTCTCCTCCCCTTCCCACTTTCCCCACACCTTTGCCCTTTTCTTCCTATGTCACATTGTCAGTTATACCATTTGCATTTTACTTACACTTTTGGATCTTACTTACACTTTTAGTTTTTTACACCAGAGAAACTATTCAGTATTTACACGTGTGTCCTGTTTATTTCACTTAAGATATATGCACACCCATGTTTATAACTAAAACTTGGAAACAGCCCAATTACCCATCAGTTGGAGACTGGATAAAGAAGATGTGGTTTTTCTATGAAATGGAGTACTACTCAGCCATTAAAAATGGGAAACTAGAGTCAGTCCTAGGAAAATGGATGCATGTGGAGATCCAGTTTTCTTGTTAAGAGGCTGTCTTTGCTCCATCATATATTTTTTGCTCCTTTGTCCAGAATCAGATCACTGTAGGGATAGGGATTTAGCTCAGTGGTGCCACTGCCTGCCTCTCAAGCAAGTGCAAGGTCCCAAGTTCAATGCCAGGTAGCAAAAATAAAAAAGAAGGAAGCAAAGGAAGGAAGGAGGAAGGAAAAAATATCACTGGAGTTGCATGAGTTTGTTTCCTGTTGCTGTTGTCTAGGTGTCTACTTTTGTGCTCCTACCATGTGTTTTTGCTGCAATGGCTTTGTAACATAACTTGAAGTCAGGTGTTGTGATGCATGCAGCCTCGTTCTTTTTGTTTAGGACAGCTTTGGCTATTCTGTGTCTTTTTGTTTCTATTACGAACTTTAAAATTCTTTTTTTTTCCTAGACAAATGTCATTGGAATTCTGATGGAGAGTGCATTGAATCCGTAGAGCACTTTTCGTGAAAGTGGTCATTTTAACAATATTAATTCTACAGATCCATAAACACGGGACGTCTTTCCACCTTCTGGTGTCTTCATTTTCTTTCTTCTGCATACTGTGATGCTTATTGCAGTGGTCTTTTGCCTCCTTGGTAAAGTTGACTCCTAGGGTTGTTCGTTTGTTTGTTTTATGTCATTGTTTCTGTTGTTTTGTTTTGGGAGAAGGAGCTATCGTGAATGGAATTAGTTTCCTGATTCCTCTTTTCATTACTGGCGTATAGGAGAGCTATTGATTTAGTAATGTGGGTTTTTGTACCCTGTCCCCTCTCATTTTAAAGTGGGTGCTAAGAATGCATCGTGTCCCTTTTTATCCAGCCAGGTCAGGTCAGGCTGTCTCTCCTTTTGCATAATGCTACAGTTAAGAGGCTTCCCTAGGTAGGGAATTGCTGGGTCCAAGGACCCCCTAAATTGCCTCATAGGCCCAAACTTCTTTCCCAAAGAGCCATGCGGTGAGAGCCCCTTGGCTGTCATCTCCTTCTGCGCCTGCCCAGAAGCCTCTGCAGCCCAGGAGCCCCAGACAGGCACCCAGCCGGGAGTGTCCTGGAGGGACAGCAGCCCGCCTCAGGCGGTCCCCGGCACTGCCCTCACACCGTCCCTGTGCCTGATGCGGTGACATTTCCCATCATCCGCGGTAGGCTGCCTGTGGGGTGCAGGGGTTCCTCGAGGTCCCAGCTTCCTGGAGTCCAAGATATCCCGTCCCCCTGGCTTTATGAAACCAGAGAGCAGGCACTCCGGGGAGAGGCTCTGGACTCTGCTTGGAAACGAGGCCAAATGTGTGAGCAGAGATGATTTCCGTGCCAGGCAGCAGCGAGCCAGGGCTGCGGGCAAAAGGGCCCAAGGTCCAGCCGGCCTGTCCCTGGCACTGACCACTCTGACAGGGCGGCTCCTATTGCTCAGGGCGACTGCCGGTGAACCGCGTGTCAGGTGCGGTGGCCGGAAGCCCTGTGGGGCAGGGAGCGTGAGTCACTCCTGGCGGAATCGCGGCCCACAGTCATTCACGTGATCGGCAGTGCCAGACCCAGCTGGAGAAATTCCCGAGGGTCTCTGCCCTGCTCACACTGCCCCGGGCTCTGCGCACGTGTTTAGGAAGGGCCCCTGATTTTTAGATTCTATTATGGGGCAGGATTCCTTCAGCGGGATGGGGGAAAGAGGCCGCAAGATAAAAGAAAAAGATTATTTGTTCTTTCTTGGAATGACTTTCGTCCCCACACTACTTCCTGTTTTCCAAGCCAGAGGGGGTCAGAGGGCTTAAGAGTCCTATGAGAAAGAATCTCTACTCTCCAAATAAAGAAGTTCCCGGAAGCACGCTGAGGAGGGTCACGTGGCCCGGCTTACGCTTCAGCCTGGTGACTGAGCCTCTCCTGGCTGCTGTGTCTCCCTGCAGCCCCCAGGTTCAGAGCCTCCTACCCTCCTTAAACAGGACGACAGAGAGCCGTGCGTGTGGGGGCAGTGGGGAGCCCGGCCCGGGAAGGGCACTCGTGCGCAGCCCAGGACAGGCTAGAGCCAGGGTCGCAGGACAAGCAAGGTCCTGGGGGTGGAGTGGCCCCTCTCACCTCCAGGGGCCTGGGCCCAGCCGGAATTGGGGTGAGCTCTTCGTGGGGGCGTCCCAGCTTCCTGTTTATTCAGCAACTACTGTGCTCAGCCCCAGGAATATCACAGTAGCCAAAAGAGACAGGGGAGCCTATGTTCTGTGAGGGGAGAGACAGAAGCCATAGTGAGCGCAATGTCCACTGGGGACCAGGAAGTGAAGGCCACAGGGGCAGAGACCTGGGGGCCTGTGGGATGGGGACGTTCCCAGGAGGGCCTCCGATGGCACTGCTGAGCCCCTTGCAAAGGACACAGGACTGGGGCCGCTGTCACAGAGCTGCCCTAGAGGAAGGAGCTGCACAGCAGGGCTGCTCTGGGTGCCCAGCCTCACCCCAGTGCCTAGGACTGTGCCAGACATGCAGACAGAAGGATAAGAGACAGAGGGTCAGACGGGGTGAGAGGCAGACACGTACATTTCTAGATGGAGAAGTAGACGGTCGACAGGCAGCGATCTCTAAATAACGCTTACGTTTGGTTCACGTGATGCTGTATGTGTTATCTTTTAGATCTGTAGCAATAGTATGAAGTGAACCAAAGTTTCTATTTTAAACATAGTCATGAGAACCAGACTGTCAGTTCTTCCCTTTCTTCTTGCCGGTATCTCAGGGCTCTCTGTGGAGACTCATCTGCCGCCGAGAGCCACGCCCCGCACCCTTCCCGGTCCCCACCGAGCCCTGCGACATTCATCCCTGCCCTGCCCGCTGCGGCTCTCTGCCCAGCTCTCCTCGTCCGTGCCTGTCTCCCCAAACCGGGACACAAAAGCCCTCACAGCAACAGGGGAGGCTGCCTGCTTTAGTCACTGCTGAGTCCCCAGAGCCTAGAAGACGGCCTGGCATCCAGAGGGGCTCAAAAACTCTGTGTCGTGAATGGCTAAGTGAATGGCTTTCCATAAACACGATGTGCAACTCGGAGTCAGGGCTGGGCCCCAGAGATCTCTAGAAGTCACAGGCTCATGTTTTGGGTAGGGGAATTTTTTTGAAGAACAAACCACTGCATTCTCCCAAATTTTAAAAGAACCAACGGCTTTAAAGGCAAAGACCTTCCTCGTCTGTGGCCTGAGTACCTGCAGCTGTGGCCCCGAGCCACCCGTTAGAGTCCACCCACAAGTGGTCAGCAGCTACCATATTGGACCATACAGCACAGGACATAACTGCAGAAAGTCCTGGGGGTAAACTGCTAGAGGCCGTGGCCTCCAGAGAAGGTCTACAGACCAACCAGGAGCCAGTGTATCAAGTCCCCTGGCAAATGGGAGATGTCATCCTCATGACCAATTTCAAAGAAAGCTCCAAGCACCACCTACAGATCTGCCCTGGGGCCGGGCTGGGACTGAGGCCGGGGCCCCAGAGAGCAGCACATGCTCAGTGTGCAGAAGGCCCTGGGTTCCTCCTCTGGTCCTGCAAATAATAATAGTGATAACGACGACGAAAACAGTCGCCTGTTCAGAAAGCCGAGCATTCTGCAGTGGTTCCAAAACAGACTAAGAGAGTAACAAGTGAAAACCCAGGCACAGAAGAATATTAGAAGAAAGACATAAATCATGGAGAAGGAACAGAAATCTCTTATCTCTAGTGATGCTAATTAGGTAGGAAAGCCAGAAATCTGCCTAGATAGGACTTCACATTTGCCATCAACACTGTAAACCCCTTCTCTGCTGAAGCCCTGGAGATATTTTCCAGAGAGCTCGAGGACAGGGCTTCTCCTGTGAGTGTGAGAGACGGATTGAGATTGCTAATTGCACTGCTGTCTGCACCCTTCCGTCCCTAGGCGCAATCCTTCAGTGACCTGGGGGCCAAGTGCAGAGGGCACCGGCATGAGGAAGTCATCCAGCGGCAGAGGAAGGCCTTGTCGGAACTCCGGCTGCGAATCAAAGAACTGGAGGCCGGGCCTCCAAGTAAGTCCCTGCCTCCCTCGCCCCTGCGGGGTGCCCGAGCCTGAGGCACACTTGGGGGCTGCTGTCTTCCATCCCCGCCGCCTCGCGTCGGGACAGAACCCAGCCGAGCACAGACCTGGACACGAACTAAATGGGACATTAGGAAGCACTGGCCACTGGCCTCCCTTTTCTTATTTCACGGTGGCCCTGTGGAAACTCCATGGGTTAACACAGCCAAAGGGTCGGCGTTGGGAGCCCCACAGAGTCCCTCACTCACAGGGGAGAACACCCTCAAGTTGGAGAGCTCAGCAGGACACAGGGCACTGGGCGCAGACCCAGAAGCTAGTCCTGGTCCTGTCCTTGTCCTGGTAGCTGGATGGCCTAGGCCAAGTTCACCCTCAAGAGCTGTGTGCCAACACCTGTGCGGCCTCAGCCTCCTCAGCTCTGTGGCCTTGGACAAGTCACTGACTCTCCCTAGGCCTCAGTTTCCCTATCTGCTCAGGGAGAATTAAAGCAGGCCTGTGGTAAGTGTCCCGTGCATCGTAAATAACGTACATAAAATAACTTCTTCCTGAGTCTAAATTATTTCTTTTATAGATCCTAAGGACCACCTCAAAGAATCACTTCTAGAATTAAAGACTCTCAGAATGGAAAACAGTGTCCCCACAAGGTTATTGGACGCAAAGCCCATTTTGCCAATTCTTTCCAGAGTACAGATCCAAGAGGTAAGCACAGAAAATGCGTCTCTTCAGTGTGTGGCGCACAGCAAGTGTGGGCATCGGGGCCACACAAGCCACGCCGCCTGCGCTGTGGGCGTCCGTCGTTCTGGCGGGGTCTGAACCTGCAGTCGGTGAGGTTGGAAGTTTGCGGAGGCCGGCGGCCCTCTGTCTGATGGAGCGTGAGGCGGCCTGGCCTTGACACCTGGCCAGGACGAGCCCTCAGACGTGGTGGCCGCGTCCTCACAGCAGGTGTGACGCTGTGGAAAATATTCCACTCGCCGGCTCCTAACACTGTGCCCACACGTTAAGGTTTCCCTCCTACCATAAACCGGAGAACCGGAACGCGCAGGAGGGAGCAGCGGGGGCGTGACGAGGAGGACACAAGAGGCCTCTGCACACCCGAGCCTGGACCCCAAGCTGAAGGCCTCAGGCCGAGGTCTGAACCTCACTAGGACTCCGTGTGACAGCTGGAACACGACGTCGAAGATACTAGGGATGACTGTGTGAGAGGCCTGGCCGGAACGCGCCAAGACCGGTGCCTGGCTCGGCCGCCGGCTCACTAAATAATAGCTAATGGTAGCTGCAGCAGCAGCAGTGGCAGTAGTATTTAGATGGTGTTATTCAGGAAAGCTTCTCCTCCTAAAGGGGTACTGATTTATGGACCAGAAGTGTTGGGAGTGATCTGACCGTGAAGGTGAAAGTGCCGTTATACCCGCAGTGGATCTCGTGGCATTTGACAGACATGTGACGTGGACAGGGCCCACAAAATGCATGCTTACTATAGCCCTGGGTCTGCATTTTAGTTTAGTTGAGTTTAGTCTTAGTACTAGGGCTTGAGCCTGAGCCCTACATAAGCTTTAACCTCAGCCTTTTTACTTTTGAGGCAGGTTCTTACTAAGTGGCTACTTTGCCAGACTAGACTTAAACTTGAGATTCTCCTGCCTCAGCCTCCCAGAGAGTTGGAATTAAGGGCACACACCACCATGCCTACGTCACAGCTGGACCTAAAGCCCATACTGGTTTCTAGAAGAAATACCAAGATCATCCTACCTAGACCAACATCTTCTACAATTTTTCTGCACATTTGCTAGCGTCCAGGATAAAGGTCTTTGGAAGTGAGCTGGGTTTCCTGATAAAAAGCAAACCTTCATTTTCCAGCATTGGATACGGGGCGGGGGGACGATCTCCAGGTAGGAGGCCAGCTAGAGCGCATCTCCTGGTGCAGCTTCCCAGCCTGAACTTCCCCTCGAAGATGACCCCAGTCCCACTGCTGACGTTGCACAGCAGGGAACCTCCCAACTTTTCAAAACCCCACACCCCTTCCTGGATAGCAGTGCCGAGCAGATTCGTGCCGCCTGTGCTGAGCTAAGTCCTCTATTTAAACAGAGTCACAGCCGTCGTCAGTTCCCCCTTCACAGAGCAGAAAAAGCAGAGGCTTCCACAGATCGAGTAGCGCATCTGAGGGCACAGAGATGAAGGAGCAGCCGGGCTGTGTCCTGCCTGCTGCCCTCTTGTTCCCTGCTTGCAGGGAAAGGGGTGCAGAGGACTCATCCGGACGACGGCCGCCGTGCTGCTTTTCGGGCTGTCCCTGCGGCCGGCCTGGTCTCCTCACTGTCACTGCCACTCCTGCCCATCCAGGCCACGCCGAGGCCTCCACGTCTGTGTGATCAGGGCGCTCTGCTGTTGATCTCACGGGGTGCAGGGCGGTGCCCACTGTGGGCTCGGTGTCCTGGCGTCCGATTCCGAGGAGACTCGGCACGATCCCCGGGGGTCCCCGGCTCCGTGTGACGCGGCGGCCTGCCATGCTGACGAGGTTCTGGGCGAGTGCACAGCTGGAACCCACCCACGGGACCTCAGGAAAGGGTCTGCTCGGGCCGCCCACCAGGTCCCGCCCAGGACAACGTGGGGCCACACTGTCCGAAGGCCCCCTGAAAGTGCGCTTCCTCCGGCAGAAGGAGGGGTGTTCGGCATCTTCCTTATTGTCTGTTGTGTTGTTCTGTTCTGTTTTTCCACTCTGGGGATTGAACAGAAGGCCATGCGCGCTAGGCAAGCCCTGTGCCGCTGAGCTGCACCCCAGCCCGAGAAGGGTGTTTTCTAGGTAACCATTCCTTTGCCCCTTCACTTGTCCAGGGAGCACCCCTGCCTGGGCCAGGTGCCTGCGTGCACAAGCAGTAGGGGAGAGCAGACAGCAGCGTGGTCCCTGACTCCGTGGGGCTTTGTCATCCAGGCCGCGGCTCCCTGAACTCGGCCCTGTCTCTCCCTAGGGCCAGATCCTTCTGCCCAGCTTGGAAGAGGGTCTGTCCTGCGCGCTGGGGACAGTTAGTGGCGTTCTTGCCCTTTGCCCACTAGATGCCATAGCCCCTCCATCATCAGATGTGACCTCCAAGAACACGTCCAGACACTGGCAAACGCCCCGGGGGAGGGGTACAGAATCAGCCCTCCTGAGAGGAGGGAAGACGGCCCGTGATCAAAGGAGACCAGCCGAGCCTCCCCCGAAGGGTTCAGCTACAGGAAAGAGGCTGCCAAAGGGCCCCAGCCGATGGGTCGGGAACCGAAATAAACCTACCAAGTCTTTTGAACTAAACCCTCTGTAGTCGCACAGTGCTTTAGCTTCTGCTCGCAGAAATTCATCAGGGATGGCTGGCAGAGCTCTGATGGCTTTTCTTTTCACCCTCAGAATGGCTTTACCAACTCGGGGTCCAGCTCCACCACAGAGAAGTCAGGGAAAGCAGACATGGCTGAGGCCTTAGAGCTCAGTGAAAAACTGGTATGCGCCACCCACCCCTCCCGTCCCGAGCCTGGGTCCTGGCGGTCACTTAACCACGGGGCAGTTCCCTAAATCTCAGCCTCGCATGGCTCCTTCATTGTCCCACTAACTGCAAACGCACGTCCTAGCCAGCCCGGGTCAGAAAGTGCACAGGAAGGAAGGAAGGAAAGAAAGAAAAGGGAGAGAAAAAGAAAGCAAGCGAGCCAGAGAGAGAGAAGAAAAGAGATTGAAAGAAACGGAAGGGAGGGAGGGAGGGAGGACGGGAACAGCAGAGCCGGGTTCCTGGAGAGCCTGCGTACAGCAGAATGATGTTTACTTTTGTGTCGTTCTACCCGCTGGCTCTCGTAATGGCCGAGCAAGTGAGTGCAGGGCAGTGAACGCCCCAGCTGCCCTCCTTTCCCGAGCGTTCGTTTGCCCTCTGCAGTTACAGGCGGCGAATGCTGCAGAATTAGCTGTGGCCGGACTTCCATCTGCCGCCCCGGCCTCGGCGACGGCCCCTCACTGTCCCCACTTTGCTTGCAGTACATGGACATGAGCAGGACACTGGGGAGCCTGATGCACGTCAGGGCCATGTCAGGACACGTGTCCCTGCGGCACCTCTCCCCCAAAGAGAGGGAGAGAGTCAGCCACCTGCGGCAAAGGGACCTGGACCTGGTGTTTGAGAAGATCGCGCAGCTCAAGGGTCGGCTGCAGAGGAAGGAGGCGCTCCTGCAGGGCTACGAGCGGGACCTGGAGCAGCTCAGGTACCGCCCGGGGCCACCCGAAGGCTGGGTCCCCTCTCCTGCTAAGCAGAGACAGCAGCGGACGCCGGGGATGGGACAGGAGGACAGAAGTCTGGGCGTGGAGTAACCACGCTGCTGGGGGCGGCAGTCAGGCCCAGCGGGGCGAGTGTGTCCCCGAGAACTCAGTGACGGGTGCAGGACTGTTATCGTCCCAGACTCGCAGTCGCCACCTGTGCTGAGTTGGTGGTTCCAGCGCTTTCCCAAGAGTCACACACAGGTCCCCAGCAGCACAGCCTGGACCCCTCCACACGGCCACGTCCAGCTCTGTCCTCTGCACCTCCACAAACCCTTGTCCCAGGCTCCCCTTGGAAGGGCGCCCCCGGCATGGAAGTCTTTGCAGAGGCCACTGATGCGCCGTTGGCAGACGGGATGTGAAGGGGAAGGGACCCCTCTCTCCATGCCCAGGCAGAGCAAAGTGTCCGTGCAGATGTACCAGTCCCAGGTGGCCAAGCTGGAGGACGACGTCTACAAGGAGGCTGAGGAGAAGGCGCTGCTGAAGGAGGCCCTGGAGCGCACGGAGCAGCAGCTGCGGCAGGAGAGGAGGCTCAACAGGGCCACCAGGCAGCAGAAGGTAGGCACAGCGGCTCTGGGCCCCTTAGACGTGGCTCCGGAGGTCCTGGGGTCCAGGCTGTGGCGCCTTCTTTGCAAATGAGGGTGGCAGAAGAGCTTCGACAACGACAGGCAGACTGAGTTCAGACCACCGCCCTGCCACTCACTGTGTGGCCTTAGGCAGGTGTCTCAACTTCTCTGAGACTAGATGCTCATCTGTACCCGGGATTGAACTCAGGACCTTACGCTTGCGAGGCAGGTGGCAGCACCACTGAGCTAAATCCCCGGCCCAGTATTTTTTAAATGATGGTAATTATTCATATTTTTATCATTCTGCTAAGGATGCATAGATGAATAAGCTCTCTGAGAGCGGAGATCTGGATTCACTATTCCAAGTGCCCAGAACATAGTGGACACCCAGTTAGTGTCTGGGAAATGGACAGATGGAAGGGCGGACAGGAGGACAGGCTGACGGATGGACGGACGGACAGATGGGCAGAGCAGCTCCGTGAAGGGGTGTCCTCCCGTGTGGCGCAGACAGAACCGGCGGCAGGCTGACGCCATGGGGCAGTGATCTGGGGGCTTCTCCACTGCAGGGAGAGGTGTGAGGCTGGGACCTTGTTGGCAGGCTTGGGTTGCAGACTACATTGGTTTTGAGGAACCGAGAGTCCAGGCCCAGGCGGGTCACTCGGCCAAAGGAAGTCTCCTCCTCCCTCATCTTGGTGTCCACCTGTCATACCATATAGGGATCGGTCCTGGATTCAAATCCCCCCATTCGTTAACTGTGTGACCTTGTGCAAGTCTCTTCTCTCAGAGCCTGGCTGCCCCCCGTCAGTAAACGGCAGCCACCAGCATCTGCCTCACAGGGCTGTGGGGATTAAATACCGCGCAGGTGTCCCTCACTACCCCACGCTTGCTGGCCGACCTGGCAGCTGGTGGTCTCAGGTGGTGCTCACTCTGAGGAGCCCTTGGCATTTGTGGGTGCTCACTGCCTTTCCCCGTATTGCCAGTGGCCAGCAGATGGCCTCTCCAGGGAGCACCCAGCCAGTTTAGATGCTCCCCGGCAAGCCTGTGTCTGCAGCTTGGTCAGCAGAGGGTGTCTCTGTCTCCTTTGCAGTCACACCTGCATCCGTCCACTCCTGACCCGCAAGCGTGGCTGTGGGCCAGCCCTCGGCTGGGCACCAGAATCAGACTTTTCCATACAATCAGACCCTCTGCTGTCATTCTTCCTAAGACAGCAGATCTCAAAGCTGGCGTCGGGCCAGCACCTCTTCCTGACCCGTCTGCAGATGGGCACAGGGTATGTCCAGACTTTGCAAAGTGGTCAGGTTTACTAACGCCTCCCCAAGCCTGCCTGACTGGTGTGCCGGCCTCGCCAGGGTCCTTACTGGGGCTGCTGAGTAGGGCCGGGACCCAACCCCAGACGACCCCTGCTCTGGTTCCTTGCTGTCTGGGGGGCTGTCTGCTAGGGCCCCCTGTAATGGTTATGTTATTTTTACTTCAGACATAGGTTTGTTCACTAGCATGTGTGTGCGTGACACGTCTGTGCACGTGTTTGCATGTATATGACTGCGTGTTTACACGTGTGGCTGTGCGCGCGTGTGTGGCCTCTCAGACATCCAGCCCCCACCCAAGAGGCGCTCTCAGGTGAGCCCCCAGCAGCCCGCCTCCCCCGCAGACCCCCGAGCAGGCTCCCCAGCGTGCAGCCCCGGAATGAAAGCGTCTGGCACTGCAGCTCCTCATTAAACACCCAGGCCTCAGCGTTGCGTCTCGGGGTCGCCGCACGCACGGCACAGAGTCCTTTGGCCCCGAGCCCTGTGGAGGGAGCTGGGGCGGCACCAGGTCTAACTTGTCCTTTGCGGTACCCTCTGTGGGGCCCAGAACTTCCTGAGGTGCCTTCTGGGGCTTGGCAGCCCAGGCCCCCAAACAGAGACACCAAACCACAAAAGATGACAAAGCCGCCCCCCAGCCCTTGTGGTGCGCTGGCTGGAAATGTGAGAAAACCTAGGATTTACATAATCAGTGCCACATGCATCATTCATGGGCTCCCTCATTCATGCTCGATGCAGAGGCTGTGCCAGCCGGCTTGGCCCTGGAACCCTTCCACAGAGGGAGGTGAAAAAGGGCCCAGTTAAACCCGTGTCAGAGGCCCCGAAAAGCTAAAGCCTGGGCCTTGCAAGTTCGTGGACTTCGCGGGTTGGGAGCCTGGACGAGAACGGCGGCCCTCACAGAACACGGAGCACAGACCCCCTGGCCCCGCTCCCTCCCGCTTCGTCCTGGGGCGCTCAGGGCCCCAGAGAGAGGAAACCGAGGCTAACAGGGCTGCTCTGCTGAAGAAGGGGGTCCCCGCCCCCGCCCAGACCACCCTCCCAGCCCTGCTCTCCGGAGCACCCGACTCACCCGCCTCCACTCACCCCTCTCGGGTGCCCATCTCAGAGGGAACGGTTTGCACTTAAGGATCGTTCTTAACATGGTACGAGAAGCTCCTGTTTTCAGGGCTAAAGATAAATTCCAAAATTTTGCTGGACCCTAAGTGAACCTGTGTGATTCTCCCTGGGCATCAGCTCCTTCCTAGGAGCTTCCTAGGAGTATATTTTTCAATTTTAAAATGGAAGTTCAAGGAAAATGAAAGTTAGGTCTCACCCTCAGTATTTTCATAAGGAGCCTTCAGTTTTTCAAAGTCTCCTATATAAAATCTCAGCAGCAGTTCATAAAAAAGGATGGGTTGAGGCCTCAGAGAATGAAGTCATTCACCTTGAGCTCCAGAACCACCCTCGCCGACAGACAGACAGACAGACACTCTCCAATGCCCTTTCAGTTGTCTGAACTCCTTCTTCACCAAGCTGAGCTTGCAGAATCTAATCACACGCTGGACGTGGTGGCGCACGCCTATAAGCTCAGCATTCGGGAGGCTGAGGCAGGAGGATCGCTGTGAGTTCGAGACCAGCCTGGGCTCCATAGTGAGTTCCAGGTCAGTCTCAACTACATAGTGAGACCCTGTCTCAAAAACCAGCAACAAAAAAAACCAGAATCTAATCACACTTCCTTAGTAATCCATTAGCAATGCAAATGAGGCTTGATATGACATCCTGGGGAAACCTCAGTGCTGGACACGCCTGGACCCTGGGATGCCCTGGAAGCTCTTTCCGGGGAACAGTGTGACAGTGACCATGGCCCGGGCTGGTCCACTTCCCACATTCACAGCCGAGCCTTTCTGAATTGAGGCCAGCTTTGGAGACAAACAAACAGGGTGCATGCCCACCTCTGCCCCTGAGTGACAAGTAAATGACTTTACCCGGCATGTAGCAAGCTCAGTTAGTACGGGAGAAGGCAGCTCCGGGTGGTGGGGGCAATCCTGGGCCTCTTTCAGAGGACTCCCTGCCAGCTGACGAGTCCAGCTAACCCTGGGACTTTTTCTGGCCCCCTGATGTTGGCAGCTCCTTTGTGAAGCTCCCTTTTCTGCGTGGTGAATACAAGGAGCACTACAGCCAAGAGAGGCTGCAAACTCTTTGTGAATGGGCTAAGACTGGAATTTTCAATAGAAAACATTCCAATGCTCAGAAGTCGCTCTCTGAGAAGCATGCAGGGCTTCCCGAGCCCCTCGTTAGGATCTGAAATGTGGGAACAGCTGAAATGCATTTCTGCTCCGGGAAACAACTCAGCTCCCCTTCCAGGCCCCAGCCAGTCAAACGCTGGTGTGGGGGCTTGAGCTCGGCTGTGCTGGGTGGTCTCAGCTGGGCTGGCGCCCCTAACCTTTCTGCTACTCAATTAGCCTAGATCCCTGTCTTTAGGGAGAGAGTAAAACGGTGTCCATCACACAGGGTTTGCGGCAATGAGAACACGTAGAGAAACCTCTGAGCAAGTAAGACTCCTCAGAGCCGCTGCCGCCTTAGCTATTCTGTTCCACTCGCTGTGTTCCGAGATCGTCTTAGACCTCTGGTGTTCTCTAGAGCCTGTCTGCCTCGGCGCCACTGTGTGTTGTTGACCGAGGAGTAGAAACTGTCAGATGTTGTATAAGCTTTGAATGGAATGGGAGCTCAGGGCCTGCCATCCTCAAACCCCCGAAAGGATGAAAAGATAAAATGTGGGCAGGGGTGCAGCATGTGGACAGAAGGTGACTGACAAAAAATGGGGCTTTCAAGCCGGGCGTGGGGGCGCACGCCTGTCATCCCAGCGCTCAGGAGGCTGAGGCAGGAGGATCGCTGTGAGTTTGAGACCAGCCTGGGCTACATAGTGAGTTCCAGGTCAGTGTCAACTACATAGTGAGACCCTGCGTCAGAAAACAACAAAAAGAAAATTAGAGAAAGAGGCTTTGACCCCACAGCCCCTCTTCTGCCAACCACTTCCAGTGACTATCCAAATCCCCAGAGGGGATGCCCAGGTCGACACAGCTTAGGACACACTAAACACTCTCACTCACCGGATATTTTCACTCAGGAACGTTTAGCGGATCACACACAGAAAAATGCAAAGGACTGCACACCTCGCAGCTGTTCCTTCAGCGAGAAAGAGAGGCAGGTGTGGCAGTGCTCCGATGAGGCAGCCAAGCCCACAGTATGGACGGCCTCGGAAAGCGCCAGAGCCCTGGAACGGGGACACCCGTGCGTGCGGCCCCGGAAACTCCTGCCCCCTCTCTGCCCCTCCCCAGCCCCAGGCCCCTGCCTGGGCCGCAGGTGAACAGGTGACCTAAGAGAGCGAGAGTCTAACCCGGGATCTCGAGGTCAGAGGAGGCGGATGGGCAACCGACCAAACCAGGCGCAGAATGACTTGGGGACCTGGAGGCGAGGGGCAGCGGGGAGAGGAGAGGGGGCGGGGCAGCCCAGGAACCCTGGTGAAAGGATGAAGGAAATAATGGGGAGAACATGGAGTGGGGACCGGAATGGACCCCACACCCGCCAAGGCGGGGCTCGCGCGACTTGGGCCCCCGAAGCCCATGGGAGACGGAGAACCAGTGTGGTCCCCACTTCCCAGGTCCATGAGACACAGCACAGGGGCGGCTCACACACGCTTCCTCCCCAAGAG